CCGTATTCCATTGCTAGGAATTGACTCGCGTCCTCGGGTTGTGATGCACCGTCTGAAGGGACTCCTCTCCGGCGATTTCCGCGAACCACACAGGCAAGCAGTAAATCTTCACTATTGGAAACTTCCGGGCCTCCCGCTTCATGCTCCATGAGTTTCGACTTCGATCGAGCTCGGCGCCGAAAACGACTTCTGGGAGAACTCGATCGATTTCAGCGCAATCCCATTACACGAGGCTCTCTCTATGGTCAGCCTTGAGGAACAAGGTCTCGACGAAAACCTTTCTCGGAGAGGTCTCGCGTCGCCTCGGCTCCACCTGAATTCACTAATCAAGGGATTCAGCTTTTGGACGAACGAAGAAAAAATACACGACAAAGGCTGTCTCTTGACTTCGACGGTTGCCGAAGTTCTCCCCTCCTTCTCCTGACTGAAAATTCACCAGTTTTTCTCGCTCGCCACCACAATTCGAGTTCGTGCGATTCCCAAGAAATAGGGAACGTCCTCGTGGGGGATCACCGAGGGGTCTTTCGGCGAATCGAAGCATGATTGCGCTTCTGGGTCAGAGCGAAAGAATTTATTCCTCACAGAGATTTACTCGTCACAGTTCCCAGCGGAGGAGCCATCGCTCATCGAACACGGGAGCAGGAATAGCATTTGACTCGGGAGCTCTGTGTCCTCTTCGAGAAATTTTCTATCCACGCGGAGGCTCAGCTAGCCGGTAGAACCCATAGTTTCAATTAATGCGGAGAAGTGATTACGTGTCGAGCGGAAACCATCGCGGATGGAAGCTCACAATTGTTCCAGCATTGAGGAGCAGAGTTCTCCCATCAGGTTGAGCTCGGCCAGAGGATATGCCGCGACGTGAACATGTTGCGAGCGTGTGACGGTGACCAGCGAGTGATAAAGAATCAGAAATAGGCATCAACGCCTTCTTTGCAGCTGACTTCGATTCAAGTGTAGGAGCGAGCCGGGAGTGAGAAGCTGCGATCTACGGTGCCTCATGAGAGAATGAAGGAGGATTTCTCTCTATGAGGGCGAGAAAGAGACTGCATTTAATCAGATACAATCAAAAGTATCCAAAGAGAGCTCCACGCATATCCAAGTGAGCGATCTCGGCGACGTGATGACGGTCACTCGAAAGAAAGAAATAACGACGGGACGATCGCGGGGGCAGCTCTCAACACGTGCTGCTTCCCGTCTCGGCTCGCTGAGAAATTCGGAGAAAGCACTCGTTCGTGCCAGTACGCATCTATTGCCTCTCCAATCATAGAGCCACATCCAATCTTCTGTCAGATACGTCTCGTGAATGCCTTCCGAGCGTCACGTACGCGGACTGCTTCCCTCGAGCCGAGAACCGAGAAGATCAGCCATGAAAAACAGGTAGATCCGGCCGCGAATTTCGTTCTGAATGCTCCCAAGCGAGTCGAGAAACTCGATCGACACAACTAATGCTAAGGAGGAAATTGTTCAACGCGGTCGCGAATCCTCGAGTTCGTCATTCCGAGAGGACGCGCCGAGCGCGATTGAGGGAGCTGACACTTCACCCGAATATTCAAGTTGATTCAACCGCTTGAAATCCAGGTTTTCAACAATTGTCGAATCGGTTTTCTCGGACGCGCAGGATGCCTCCGCCTTCCGCGTATAGGAAATGCGTCCTCCTGATTAGAGCTCGACTCCTAGGCAGGACTCGCAGAAGATAAACGGCTCAGGCTGCCAGAAGGATCGATCGGGAAAACGGATAGCCGCCAGGACTGATTGATTGGAAAAGGTAGGCGCATGAGATGACGTTTGAAACTTCCGCGACAAGGAGTTGTCGCGCGGGTCGTTCCGTTGTTGGGTGGAAACGCGCAAGCAAGGGGTTTTCAAATGAGATCCTCTGGGAGCTCAGGTCCGTGCCGCTCCTGCCCAACTTCGCTCGAAACGGCTGTCCGGATCGAGAAATCGATACCAGCAATAGAGACTTGATGCAGAATCCATCCTGAATTTAGTGATGCAATTACTAAGAACCAGAAGCTGCCTGGAAACTCTTCTGAACCAGGACCGATTTGGGATGGGCTCATGCAGGGAGATCAGTAAACGATCTGATTCCTCCGTGTCTGGAGGCTGGCCCTGAACTCGACGCTCGTCAACGCATTGCCTTCGCTGCTCACAACGCTCAGCTTCTCCCGTTAGTCCAACCGAGTTGTGCAAGTTCGTCATGACAAGGAGGAGTCAAGTCGAGCTGACAGTATGGTTTGTCTCGTCGCCGTTGTTGTCATCGTCGCGGTTCTCGTCAGACCGAGTTGGCACAGCGCGAGAGATTTTAGTGCCGCAGCTAATTTTAGACGGAGCTATACACGGATGGACGGACCTTCTTCTCGCCCTCGCTGCAGCCGGTGAGCCGTCGGGTTTCTCGGTGGAGCTTCTAAAGGAATCGCGCTACGAGCCCGTGTCCGGAAGCCAGTGCTCGTCAGCTCTCGGCAAGAGCGGCGGCTATCACATGCTTTGAGTCTCACATGGAAGCCTCATTGGGTCTTCACAGTAATTAGGAAAAGTGTCTGGAACCACTGGCCCGGCGGAACCTCATTAAAACGAAGTCGCGGATCATATCTCACCGCAGGAGAATGGAAACCGGAAATTACGTCGACGGCTGCCCCTCGTAATCGAGCTCGATTCCGATCCGTGGATTCCAGGGTGGGGGAACGACGCACAGAGTGGAACGAGGAGCGGGTAGGATTCCGAAAAGACCAACGGGGATTAGCTCTTTCCCGAATCTTCTACTTCCCAAATCGAGCCAAGGGTACGAGTCGCGTCGTCGTTGACAAGCTTCACTTAGCTTTCCGTCGAGTGGGCTGCCGAATCGGGTTTGAGCTAAAAATCACCGCAGCAAAATGATCTGACCGGGCTCGTCCTGTCACAGAGAAGCTCGCGTCGGAATCTGCAAGTGCGAGGTCGTCTCTTGGCCTCCTGACACGGGAGTGTATGCACCGAGATGTTGAGGGGATCTGACCTCGCGCGGAGATTTTCCCGCTGACAGCCGCTCTGTGGCAGACTCGGATTCGCCGTGATCGATGACGGGCGAGTTCAAAATACAGGCATTGAGATTCACGCTCGATGGAGCCGCGTAGTTTTCTCTCACGCACATGAGAGCTTGCAATCGGGCGACGGGGCTCTCTCGATACCGAGTCGCTCTCAACCTCACCGATTTTCGACTCCGGTAACGCGGGTGGGAGTCACGAGGGGATTCCAGTCGCACCAATGAATCATCGGAATCTCAAGCGAGCAGCAGCATGAGAGCTACAGTTCCTTCCGATCCGGAATCATATTCCAATCCTCGACTGGAGCTTCTCAATGGAGTGTTTTTTTGGCAAGAGAGCCCCTGAGACGAGATCTCTTGATCCTCGCGGAGCTGCAATCGAGCAACCCTCGAGAGTCGCAATATGTCTCCGTCGGAACAATCTATAAAAATCGTATCGAGCTGTCTTTGCTCTATGAGCTGATCCAACTACTCTAGCGGAGCCGCAAAAAGTCTCATCCTGCATCCGAGCAGAACATGTGACGACCCACGGCGGCGGCTGCTGCTGCCAGCCGTGCTCGTTCCACAGGGAGGAAAAGCAAGCCGATTCACCATTACTAGTCAGTAGTAGTTGTGCTCTCTGGGACAGAGCAGCCGAAGCGAAGGGGGAACATCGACCACCAGCGATGCCGGGACGTAAGAAGAGGGGTGACCCATGATAGCGTCCAACGCGAATGACCCCGATTCGAGGGTTGGGGGTAAGGGGGGGGGAGAAGTTCCTCATGAAAGGCTCTCAGGTCGTCCGGGGCAAGGTCACCGACAGCTCTCTACAGATCTCCGAACAAGTTCCCTTATACGTACGCGTGAGTTCGTCCAACGTATCCAATGAACTTCAAGATGCTCCATCGGGGCACGCGAAACACAATACATCACGTCTCCGACAACGAGAGCACTGCGCAGCAAACCACGGTAATGCCCGATCTTAGCGGAACGCCACTAATCGAAATCCGCTGATAATTCGGGGAAAGAAGAATGATGAGTTCATACGGGAGAAATCAGGGTCAACGAGGAGCGTTTATTGTTCGTTCGGGATCATGTTTGCGCTTTTCCGTTTGCGACTCGCGACTTGCGTGACGAGCGTCTGCTCGACACGTGTCCACCATTGAAAGGCGTCAGCGGTGAACCAGAGTTCAGACTGGACGATTGCGTACGATGGAATAGAGATTCTTAGCTTGCAGTTCGCATGCATCTTCCATCGGAACACCTCGGATCCGGCCGTCGGCCTTAGCCTGCTTCTCCCATATTGCCGCTATCGTATCGAGATCGCAGCGGCGATCGAGAAAGAGGAGATCGTACGGACTGAAACTCGGGAAGTAACTGACACCGCGGCTATCGATGCTCGCTGACGCATTCTCCCTCCAGAGATCCACCAATCGTTGATCTATCTATCTATCAGTGCGACGAGAGTTTCCAGATGAGACTGGAGAGCAGCCAGATCCAGAATGCGCTTTCTCTTAATGAATGCCAGAGGCCGCTCGATTCCGGAGGTAGCGCTATCCCAGAATACGGCGCATGAACCTCCCATTCGATCGCTTGGTAACTCTCAGCCAGACCAACTTCTCCTCTAGCGAGAGAAAATCTCCCGATAGAGACTGGATCCTCGCTCTGATTAGTTTCCGGATCATCATGGTGGATTTCCTGTTCCTGGAACGATGGCCCAGCGGTGCACCGCAAGATCCGGGAGGCGCTTATCATTCGGAACTCAGACCGCCTAACCGCCACCTCCATGACTTGGATCCATAGTGACGGAGACTCCGGACAAGGGAGAAAGTCGAACGCAGATCGAGCTTCTCGTCCCTACGACCCGCTGTGGAACGCGGCTCCCACCGTACGCGTCGGCTTCTACACGACGAGAATTCAATCTCGAGCCTGTCATTCAAAAGCGCGCATTGTCAACCGGACAGCTCTCTCAGGTTAGAGCTCGGACAAAGAAAGTGAGATAACTTACATTTTTATCACCATGCTCCATGGCGATTTACTGAAAGAGAAAAAAAAACAAATTAATTTCCGAATCAATGTGAGGTTTCCTCTTCCAGCACAAATATCCTTCGAGGAAATTGAATCCAGAATCGTTCCGATTCCGCCTGCCTTTCAACCATTGATTTTCCGTACAATTTCACCCCTCTGCTCCCCTCGCGCGCACTGAGAGGGTGCACGCTGACGAAAAACGTCAAAACGGACTATCGCGCATCCTGAACATCTCACGCACGAAATCGCTCCCTTCCCCCCCCCCGGACTTGAGCCTAAGTCAGTTCATTCAGCCGTCTGTTCCCCATCTGATCTAACTCGGTCTATCGTCCGGGGGAGTTTTTCCAGAGGAAAACTTTCCCACCAAAAGTTTCCTCGATCAATTTCTTGGTCCCAGACCGCTCGCTCATCGATCAATCACTTCATCAGTCATTCAATCATTCGATCCGCATTGTCGATGCTTGTTACAATGTGTACACGATCAGAGGGATTTCCGGCGTGTGCAGAATCAATCCACGGTACCGCCGGATGATTCGTTTCTCCATTCGAGCGACTGATCGCTCGACCGTCTGCCGTCCGTCTGCCCGCCCGCCTGCAAGCCTGACAGCCTTGAGCAGCATTATCTTATTGTAGATTGACTGTAGATAACAAGAACGGACGGTTTGACGGACGCACAGACGAATAAACAGGCGACCGTACAAATAGATCAGCTCGGACAAACCGAAGCTCCGGCCGCAGACAGAGCGTCATGCGCCCGCTGTTTTTGTGAGTGAAAGACCAGCATCGAGTGAGGTCGTTGGCGACAACGAAACCGTTCGTTTGCAATAACGTATGGATAGCGTTTCACCGATGGCGTTTACCTCGTCCGACGAGAGAGCGAGCGAACTAGTGAGCGAGTTAGAGGCAGCAGGCAGGAAGGCGAAGCGTTCGGCCATCCAGCCGGCTTGCCGACGAAGTGCCGCTCGCTGGCACTAGATACGTCAGGAGGGTCAGCCGGAGGACGACGGCGCCGACTTTCTGCCCAAAAATCGCAATATCAACCGATGTTACTAAACTCCCCGATGCTTATTCGGTAGCAAAAGCGAAAATTTAACGACGGGCAAAGCAAGCAGACAACCAACCAGCCGCCAGCCACCATAGAGCCCACCGAGCGAGCGAGAAAGCGAGCGAGCGAACGAGCAGCCAAGCAAGCTAGCTGGAGGGCTGGCTGGCTGCTCAGCCAGCTAGCGGGCACGATGAGAGCCATTGATCGCGACTAGTCTGCCTCCAGCTCTCGGACGCGATCCGACATCGATAGCTCGACAACATGCCGAATCGGATAGCGGGGAAAACGAGCTCGATCTTCCGGCTGCTCAAGTCGTACCCTCACTACTTGTCGTGTAGGTCAAAGCCGCGGAGTGTCTGTCTGACGACGAACCCTCTACCTCGCTCGCTGGCTCGCTCGCGCTGCTTGACCCCGCAACGCTAACAAGTCGTCCGCGTGGACATCGCTGCTCACCGAGATCGAGAGCCGCGCTCGGGAGGAAAAACACGCAATGCAAACGAGCGGGCATCGACGAGCGACTTCACTCCCTCGAGCGAGATACGACACCCGACCGACCGATAGGCCATTTCAAAATAAACACATCGCCAGCCTTCGCATCGGCTCGTTTTCCTCGATAACGACCGGGAACGGACTCGGACCCCGCCGAAAACACGCGGACATTATCTACGAGCCTTCACTCTATCGATATACACCTGGATAGCGTTGATCCACTCGGAATTCTCGCCTTTCAAAGCACAATTGAGTTGCTGCACATCACTGGCCATCCAACCGAGCCACTATCCCTGTTCACTTCGTCTTTGTCGTCGTCGCCCCGCGCCCGTCAACAGAGGAACACCAGAGCGGGCGGTCCTGCGGCTCCGAAGGCCCGAGATTTCATAACGTTCCTCGCGATTTGCTCCGCTTGAAATGCCGCACGGGGGTCCGGAACCTCGATCGTCGACATTTCCCGACGGGATCTCGAACGTCCGACCGAGTCGGATTCGAACGCGGTCTTCAGGAGCCGGATCGCGGACCGAACATTCGAAAATGACCGCCATTTGTATCCATATCTGTGTGTGTTTTGGGTTGCCAAGTTTCGGTGCGTTAAGGAGCAGAGACATTTTGTAGGCGATATCGGCGAGCTACGTTAATTTTTCTGACTTGCCAGCCCTCAAAAAACATTCTTCAGCTGACGGCGGATTAGAAGTCGACCCGACTGTTGCGTGATGCCGCGTGTCTGCTGAGCTCTCCGCAGTCACACTTGACGTAGTGAACGCCGAGCGATTTGTTGCACATATGGTCTGTAATTTAGATGACCATAGAGAGCCGGTTCATCTGTTCGATCCGCCAGAGCAAGGCAAGTACCCTCCTGCAGGCTTCGCTCTTGACGTTCCTTGGAAAGCTGTCGCGAAATGCCCGATAACACCGGCCGTGGCGAAACTAACAAAACGGTGCCCGGCTTGCATTGCAGGGTACACCCTGCCTTATCAGAGAGCTCATCGACTGGCATGTTCAACAGCATGTTCAACAAGAACCCTGAAGTGAATGACTTCACACCGTCATGGCTAAAGCTCCCCGCGAATGGATCTAGACCACCCCTGAACTGGCTCCAGGAGAACTCGTTCCGTAAGTGAACCGGTCCCGGTGCCTCAGCCGGCTCCGCCGTATTTCGACCACGCTGTCCTATGAACGCAGGCCATGGCCCGTTCCTGAAATTGGACTTCCAAAATGCTCCATTTGCGTCACATGTCTTATGTCTACCCAATGAATGCGTCGGCCGACCGAATTTTCGGGAGTCCTCAGTATAAACAATTCATTCGTGATAGCCGAGTATGCCCTCGGAACACTAATTCAGCTTTCCGATCCCCAGAAGCCGCCCGACGAAATGGATCTCTCACTCAGAAAGACGATTTTGTGAGTTTCCAACGATTCAAGAATTGAACCGAAAGGCAAATGATTAAACATAGACATGATTTCTCATGGACCATGGATTCTTCCCACAGAACCCCTCTGGACAACAGCGTGTGATCTCATCTGTATGGACGGCCCCCCGCCCAACTGCTGTGCCTACGGCTCCAGCTCCGGCCAGAGCGCCTTCGAATCGAATGTACAAAGCTGTTCTACCTCGTAATATGACCAAACGCGTCTTGAGCAGAACAGCCCCTCCGCCTTCAGATGCCAACAGAGACGCGCAAGCCGAGGACAATAATAACGTGAGTGGGAGTCGCTTTGTGCCGGTCGGGCGCAGTAGACAATGAAAAGGATTTCGTAGCCTGGATTTGGGGGATTTCTTGAACTGGGTTTAGTTAGCTCTGACGAGACCTCGGGCGGACTACGATTCTGGTGTACCGTACGAGATGTGCCACACTCGCGCTCTCTCTTACGGGAAGGGGCGGGGGGAACAATAGGGCTTCCTCAGGCTGATCAGCAGGTACGAAGCATCTGCGAGCTTCTGTCCCGCGTGCTTCCGGGGTTGATCTTTTTGCGGCATAGCCCAGAGAGCTCGTGGGGGCTCCGGTTCCTCATGAATCTAAGGTTATGAGCATCGCTTCACTGGAACGAAAATCATTTTCCATGATTGAGAGTCTCCGCTCTCTCTGAAGACATTGAATCATCCATGAATTCATTTTCGCAGTGCTCCGAAGCAGAAGAGCGCCTACTGAAAGAAATGGGCTGGGACGAGCTCCGAGGTGAAGAGCCCCTCACCGACGAAGAAATCACCAATTTCAAACATCTCAACGGAGGAGTCTCCCTGCTACAACAGAAACAGCAGCTCTCGGACAGAGCGAACAACAACAATAGCAACGGCTTGCAGGTAGCATACGATATACGTCACGCATAAGTCTTCCATCCTAAAGGATCCAGACCTGCTGCTGATGCTCATTATAGAGAGCGCCGTACCCGTTCCGGGCCCTCAAAACACCTTCAAAAAACGTCAAATTGTTTCAGACCAATCGAGGTGGACTTTCGTCGCGGCGGAAACTTCACGGCGGACCTGATCTCAAAAAGACCCTTCTCGCTACTATGGGAGTTTCAGCGAGCTGCGACGATGAAGATTCCGAAGAAGACTCAGATGACAACGATGGCTCCGATTAACCGTTGCCCTTCAATCGGATTGTCATCGATCGCGATTGAAGACTTCAGAAACGACCTCTAAATCAAACTTCATGACGAACTATTGGGCGACGAGCTTGTAGTTTTGGTGGAAACGGGTGTCAGGTTCGGTCGACCTTATCTCAGAGAAAAGACAGCGTTCTGGATATCTGATGGGAATGGTCGAGACATTGTCGCAACAAAATAGGGTTCTCAGCGAACATTGGTTAGATCGAAGCGGAGGTCGATTTTCGAAATGTCTCGCCGCAGGGAATCTGTGAAGTCGGGTGTTCAAGAGGTAGAGCGAAAGACCATGATTGAGCGATAGGCATTCGGTGTGCGCGGCTGCTTGCGAGAGGATTGAGAAACTTCGCTATTTCTGTGAAATGTAATATAAAATATGGACTCGAGGTTCTCGTGTGCGACGATTTTCGCTAACGGTTTTTTCCGGACCGACGCTTTATACTACGCCGACATTTTTCAAGCGGATTGCAGTCACTTAGCATGCACTCATAGAGCAGAGAAACTCTTCCCTCACAAGCCGACAATACATGCTGACACTTCATAAGCGAGCGTGTTGGTTATAATCATTGCATCGACCCGGACAGTTGATCCGCTCGCGAGCAGGTCAGAGTTTTACCTACATTAAACCCGGAGCGTCGTACAGAAAACTACACGATGCGGAGCTGATATCCATACTCACGTTTCAGGCAGCAAAAAGAGTACACAAATGTGAAAAGGGGTGAGAATGTTATTTTTTTGGCGAGGCTAACTCGACACAACGGTGAGTTCTCAAGCTCTCATCGATCAGGGAATGTTCAGGACCGAGCCTTAGATAGTATCTGTCTGAGCAAGCATCTCATTTAAATCTTTCCTCGAATGTTATCTTGTCCCGGAAAGAAAAACTGTGAAGAATAAAAATTTGAACAACGACAGAGTGGATCTGCTTATGGACGCGGATCCAGATTGACCTCAGTCCGGTGCGAGCTAATAGAAACGAATCGGATAGCACAAAAAACTGACCAGGAGCTGCTAGAGATCGTGCAAGTTTATTGTCTCAATCATCATCTAATATAGGTATTAATTGCTCAAATCTTGACAACCGTTGATTCTGAATTCATCTTGACTCCATAATAGTTCGAACAGAAGAAACCACGGTTCTCTTCCTTCGGTCGGGATGACGCTGCCTTCAGATCCAAATAGCCGGCGGCATCTCTTCGAGGCTACAGTGAGCCAATAAAGGATACGTCAACTCATTGTCAGTCGAGGACCGCATGAGACCGAATGTCCGGGACCCCCGAATCCGGAGATTTTCTGAAACGATATACCGCTCCGAAGGATTCGGAACAGACGCTTATCGTGAGGAGGGTTTTCGAAGGAATCACCGGCATTCAGACGAATTCAATTAGAGGGTTGAAATATTTGGGAGAGAACGGGGCACCATCGAACTGTCATGGTCTTCAGAAAATACTCATCTCGTCCGTTCAGCAGTCTGAATCTGTGATTTCGACCGACTGCTGCCAGTGTCAAAATCGCAGTCGAGGACTGGGCCGGCTGAGAGTCGCAGTCGGCGAGGAGAAGCGACAACATTAAATCCCAGGATCTGAGCATGATCCCCCGGATACTCCCGAAGAAAGAAAGCCTATCTGACTAACGCAACAACAGGAGAAGGTGGAAGTCCCGACAAGGTGAGTTTCCAATTATTGTCCGAGATCTCAATCGGGAGCGAGTTCTTCAGGATTTCTGCAGCACAGTGAGGAGGATAAATATCTTCACCCTGGTGCGCCACAGAATATTTCCGTTTGGTGCGGCCCTTCAGACAGGGCGTCCGAAGAATGAATGAGATCGGAGTGAATTCTGATAGAACCTCCGCATCTCAGGCGCAGCTAATATTGGGAAAGACGAGACAGGAGATCAACAATAGAAACGAGAATGTTCTACGCACACCCTCGACCAAGGTCTCAAATCATATTTGAGTCCTTATAGGACAGCGGCACCGGAAGCCGTAATGATAAATTATGTAGAGCTTTCTCTCCCAAAACTCTCGGCTTTCATTCCTGATTAATGTGTTCGCTCCTCGCCTCTGACTGCTCGACCTCAGCTAATTGACCCAGATCACAAAGAGGCCGTGATCCTGCGATTCGTCAACCAAGGACTGTCAAGCTGCTCTCCTGAGAATTTCCTTGAGCGCAATCCATTAGAAGCTAGCTCGTGATCCAAAACACAAATCCATTCTGATAATTCGAAGCTTCAGGAAGTACGATCTCGACTCTATCCTTGTCTATTCTCCACCAATACGCAGATTTTCCTACCCTCCTGAAGTGATATCACATCGATGAGTGCACCGATCGGATTGAAGCGCACATCCTACCGCTGGACTTATTGCGTTCACAGAGTATTGCGGTTTGGGACCCGAATATCCAGATTTTCCGAATATATTGAATAGAATGCCTATAAGCGAATAATGGTCCAATCTGATCCCGCTTTCTCCCGACGATTGATGCTCATCGTTGGGAATGATCTGGGCAGCTCCCGGCAGGGTGCAGTGCGCCGGGCTCAATCCGATCGGCGGCTGGACTTGATCAAGCGTTCTTTTCGAAGTCTGACGCCGCGCCACATGTAACTAGAAAAATTATGAGCTTGATAGAAAATTATTTATAATCACCCAAGCTAGGTTCTGTCGTCACTCCTTCTGCAGTGTCGGACTCACAGACTAGTGTGTTGTATATTATAATTATCCCACGATTACCGATTGTATTCTGTTCCGGGGGAACAGCCGCTAAATCTGACGTCGATTCACTCTTGAAGACTCTGCATTCTACCTTCCCGAGATTCTCTTGCTATTTGAATTCCTCTCCCTCTCGAATTTGTTCTCCCTACGGGAAATCTCAGTCTGGATGCTCATCACAATGAGACATGTATATTCTGATAAGGAACAATAATAATCAATAAAAGGTTCTCTCCTGCAATCTCCTGCTCCTCGACATGGAGAAAGGTGATCTTTCGGAAGGCCTGAGCGTGAGAAGTATGATTTGGGCTCGGGTCGGGCGGAGCGTATCAGGGTATCTATTTGTCAAGTAAAATGTACAAAGGGAAGGCAAGCGGGGGAGAAGAAACACTGTCTGCATTCCCTGGCAGGATCCATAAGGAAGAAAATGCTGCTCCTGCCGCACGATGTGGTTTTGATACGGTACAGACACCGGACACCGTAAGGGCAGGCCGCTTGTCCAACCAAATTAAGTCTCACGCTCTCCCAGGAACCTCCTCGATCGCAGCCTGACGAGCTTCCATCAGGCCAGCTCTCCATCGAGCGTTCGACCGATCGGCGAGTTGGTGAGATCGCTAAATTAAATTCTTCGATGATGAATTGAATAGCCAATAGTGGTGCGGGACAGGTGGCGCTCTCAGGTGCTAGCTGAGGCTGAAGTACAATATCAAAGAGGGTGTATTTCCTAGGTTTGAGTTTACAGTCACAGAGCCTTAGATGATCGAGATGGTACAAATTATCGTAGCTGTCATACAATTATAATCATAATAATTATTAATAATGATGATAACCTATCGCAAACGACTAGCGCCTCGAACCGAGTCGAACTAGGCGCGAACCGCTCAGTAAGGCAAGCCGTGAGAGGGTGAAATCATGGCGGATTCACAAAAAGAAATCTCCCTTCTATTCTGGCTAAGATTGTCGTCTACTTGTCTGGCTGCGCTAAGTACAATCAGTTGGTAGTCGTGTCTACAATCTAAAGAAACTTCTCTCCGGGCGGGAGTTTCCTCCAGGCAGAAATTTGCTTCCTAATTTGGATATGTAAGTATGTACATGTTCGCTCGCGTCCCATGATCGACGTGAAATTAGTCTCGATTTGTTATGCTTTTCCGTGAGAGTTGAAAGCACGCTACGCGTCTGATGCTGCTGACGTGGGGGCTCAATTTTTGTGGGTAAGACGAGTTCCAATTCGAGCACTGGGGTGCTGCTTCAAGAACTATGACGGCGCCGACGAATCTTCCGGCGGCCTCACTCAATCAATTAGGTAGGTCGACTACTATTTACATGACGGTGATTCCCGCATCGCAGCGGCTTATTGGGAGGGTATTGTTGGAATCCATCCACTTGTTGCGCTCGGGATCGTACAGTTCCACGGTGTCGAGCGTGCTGTCGGCGTAGCTGGGATCAGACGGGGGTACTCGGCCGCCGATCACGTACAGCTTGTTGTCAACGGCGGCAGCGGTGCATCCGGTACGGCCCCGTCGTAATGGCAAAATATCACACCATAGGTTCTGCAATGAATCGACACGAATGTCAGTGCTGGTGTTATCGACCCGAGGATTGATATCGGGGTGCAGGAAAAAAACGAGAGGAATAGCTTGAGCTCTGATCGATCCTTTGTGTCTGACGCTCAACTCCCGAGTGTGGACTCACGTCTTTGATTGAGTATCTTTCCACCGAGGTCATATAATGACTTCGGACGCCAATTCCGCCAACGACGTAAATGTAATCATGCAGCACAGCGATTCCCATGTTTGAGCGAGAGTTCTTCATGCACGCCAGAGGCGTCAGTTCTCCGGTGACAGGGTTATACGCCTCGACTGTACTCACAACACGACCGTTCTCAGTTGCTCCTGTTGGCGGCACGAAATAATGCGAATCAGACAAATCCAATGCCGCCATCCGGATTGAACGAAAAATTATCAACTTGACTGTGTAGCCTACCTCCAGCGATGTAGATCAAGCCGCCGTGGGACACGACTCCCATACCCGCACGGGGCGCGGTCAGGGTGTGCTCGAGAAGCACCCAACTGTTAGCAACGGGGTTGTATCGTTCAATCGAATCCGTTTGAGAAGACCCTATGATGCCCCCAATAGCAAACAAGGAACCGTCGGCTGAACAGACTCCATGAAGTGTCCGCGGTTGATTCAATGGTGAGAGCGCTTGCCATTCGTTGGCACTTGGATCGTAAAGCTCGGTATCGGCGAGGATCATGCCATTCTGTTCGCCACCGACCACGTAGATCAGGTTGTCCAAGATCGCCGTGCCGTGGCAACTTCTGGCTTGGATCAGCTTCTTCTCCTGGGTCCAAACACCCCGGAAAGTGTCGAGTCGCTCTACTCGTTCCAGCGCCGAATCGTCGCCGTGTCGTTGATTCTTGCCGATGTGGTTTCCGCCGATGATGTAGACACTTTTGCGAGCGCACATCCGAGGTTGGGTTCTCACATCGAAGTTGGGCTCGTTGTTGCGCAACTGGATTCTGTAGTCCGCGAGTATCGAACGGATGTCTTCGCGGAGCTGCGGATCGGGACATTTCTCCATGTACTTGTCGAGTTTCTTGCTCGACATGACAGCGATCCGAACTTCGGGTAACAGTTCGAAAACGTATTGTCTTCGTTCTTCGACGTCGAACGTTATCCACGTCATGAGTGCGTCAAATACTTGGTACTCGTTGTCGATGCTGAGACCTTCGCTCTTTAAAAACCCTAGCATCGTGTAGTGAGGGATGTGTAGAAATTCGTCTTCTTTTATGACTTCGGTGAATCTCCGCTCGATGAAACGTTTGGCGTCCAGCTTGAGATTGGTGCAGGAATGGAGTTCTGCGAATCGGAAAATCCCAACGCAATTCGAAGGATGCAGATCTTTGCTCAGGAACTTACAGCAGAAATCGACAACCTGAAACGATCCATCCAAATCAGACAGAACCACTTCGGCATTCGAATGGAAACTCGCGGATCTCCGGATGAGCCTCTCAAGAAAATCACCAATAGCCATAAAATCTGACTCCCGATGGGACCTACGTCGGGGAGCTGAAGCATATTGGCCGCAGCCAGGATGAACTGGCAGTTATCCTGTGTGACTTCGATTGATCCTTTGTATATGAAGTTGAGCAGCCGCTCGAATACGTCCGGGTCTTCGATTTCGTGTAGGGTAGCCTCATTGGTTTGTGTTTCTTTGAAATTCATTCGGTACATCGCCTGGTGATCAGACATCATTTGGGGTTCAGGACTCGAAGGACGTGATCGTCTTACAAACAGACGAACTTGAAAGACACAGCGTAATATGTCGCCACGCCGACTCTGAATGGTACAATGGAGCGCTAAACCTCGGGTTACCCACCTCGAAATATGGACTGGCAGCTGCCAACACAACCCAATGCGCAGCAAACATTTTGTCTTGCACCACGATGTTGATATCGCAAAATCTGTTGTCCTCCCGCAGTCGGTTCAAGCTCTCAAGTTGCCGGATCGCGTGATTCTTCGAGAGGAAAGTTTCCTTCGGATTCGAAACCGCATAAGCGTTGCCATTCTGTTGGCTATTACGGTGGCCTCTGAAGATTCTGTGAATTGGAGATATTCATTCATTTGACGTGTTCCATGAGGAGCATTCCCGCGCTCGAATTCAAGCGGGCCTGGGGTCGCATTCATAGGTGAAAAAGATGAGCACAAACCTGGCCTGCTGACGATACTGGGACTTGTGCTGCCCTGACCCACGGAAGGGCGGCTGTATGTTGGACATCTTCTCCTCCAACCGGATCACAAATCCAACTCGTCCCGAACGTCAGCGACTTAGGGAGCCTTTGTGTCGCCCTGTGGGTAGATGGGAAGGATTGGAGCCTCCTCTCTTATAGGAACGATTCGAGAATCATACAGAATCCAGGAGTGTATTGAGCTCTCCCAGGACGATCGATTCCTTAGCAAATTCCCATCGATCTTCCAACTATGGAGTCAGTTGGATTGATTCGGCTCTTCTCTGACGTAAAGACTTCCGTCCGTTCCAATACGGCTAAAGATTCGTTTCAATAAAATTCCGCGTCAAGCTCTCTCTGTCGGCGATCGCACGGCGATGTCTGATCGGATAAAAGTCGGGGTTTCCGGAAATATCCCGAGCGCACGGAGCTCTCGCGGCTTCGAGCAACTTTCAACCCAATCAGATACTGAAAGAATCGAGTCCGAACACGGAAATCATTCCAGAACTTTGGGAGAAAACCGGGGACCGGTCGCGGTTCGGAGACCCCAACGGGCATTCCACGGACCTTAATCAGCTGGGGGAGCTGTCTCATTCAGGTGAAGTCCCATCGGGCTTCCGATTCAGAGCCAGCGAAGGCTCAAACGGCTGATGCGGAAAACCCGCTCTTGAAACTCCGGTAGCGGCCGTTGATCTACTTCTGCTTTGCGAAAATAGCTCGCAACGTTTCCTCCCCGATTTGGTTGCGCAACAAGGGACCGACTCACCCTCCGAAGCAGAATTTCGACCTGCAGCTGGCTGCGTCTTGCGGTCCGTTTTAGACCACAATGAAATACACAAGTGAAATTTGTTCTTCTCACTCCGCTCAGTACTTCGCCATTTTAACGTAAACACATAGCCGTCGTCGTCGGTTTTTCCAACAGTCGTCTGCCTTCTTCCGACAACGTCGGACGTTGTTGCCGCTGTCGTCCGTCAGATGGGGAAGGGGAATACATAAACAGCAGCAACACATTCTGGATCCGAAGGAGAGGAGAGAAGCGATCTGGCGCGCAATTCAAAAAATACCGAGGCGTTCAGGGGGACGACAAGACCACGACATCGGACTCCCATCGAAAGCAGGGATGTGGTTCCGAGATGCGGGTCCCGAAGATGAGGGAATTTCCGGAGCCTGGAGCTTTTCATGACTTCATGTCTGATCTCGCTCGCTGCCAATGCACTTCGCGCAACGCTCTCAGAGCGGACGGGAATCTGATAGACACGAGAAGGAATATGCGCTCGCCATAATGCAACGGCCCGCCTCTACCTGGAGTCCTCCGCGGCGTTTCTATTCGTAATTTCCGAACGCCATGCGAGCTCATGAGACGGCATATCGACTACGGAGCAGAGACAGGTCGATCAGAAATGAGAAGCGGATCGAAATGACAACTCCGAGGCTGGTCTCCCTCGTAGAACAGCGAACCCGGGACTCTAACTGATCGCCTTCAAGGATAGCTGCCAACTCGATCAGGGGATTGGTGTTCTCGACTTTCCCGTGGAATCTACACGCAGCTAAGTTCGTCATCTCCCCAGTTCCGTCCCATCAATCAGTATCTTCAATCACGACCGGGATCAAGGATACATTCTCGACCTCTATCAGCTTGATCTGCTTCGATGACTGCGATTCAAATATGCAGGTCCTTGCTCCATGATGCCGCAGCCGTCTCCGAATTGGTTCATCTAGATTCTAGAACATGCTGGTATGGCCGTTGCCCCTGGAATTTTTCCGGAAATATCGAGCTCGTTGGATCGTTGACCGCTGACTCATTCTGACGGAGGACTTCCTGCGGAGTGTCGGTAAATCACGGGGCGACGAATCGAAAGCTGACTTGATACCTTAGTCCTCGTTAGCTTTGGAGAATACAGTCAGCCGACTCACGTTGGAAAAGAGGAATAATCGCATGACGGTCTATGATGCTCGAATGGCTCAAACCCGGACCGCGCTCCCAATCAGCGGGGAGGGGTGCCCTAGGGTGGTGGAGCACGTCAAGTTCGATCGCATTCCCCGATCTTCGCGGAGAGGGACCCCTCTAGCGAGCTAGACCTTTGCCGTCGGGCGGGTCTCGGGGAAGTGAGAGCGCGAACGAGCTATTGGATACGCCTAGCCTTTCCGTTCGCTAATCGGCAGCTCCACACTAAGGCCAGCATTCGAGACAAGACCTGCAGTCTACGCCCCTCCTCGAGGATGGTCACCTGGCGAGGCCTATCCCATTCGTATTCATTTGTGGTGTGGAATATTCTGTCCTTAATCTTCCACCCATCGATCTCCGATCCGCCCACATCAATGGCGCCCGATATTGGCCTCTTAGCCGGATTGATATTCCTTCACCCTCAACCTCACGGTCATAGTCACAGACTCTCAGGCTAATTATGACTTTATTGGCGGATATCATCGGCTTATCGACAGCTGCGGGGATGACAGAGTCATAGATCACTCTTCGAAGAGACGGCGGAGCCATAGCGGGCTGAGGTGAGCCGCGGCTCGTCTTAAGTTCTCATCAGTGACTCTCGGCGAAGTTCTCGCTATGATTCGAGAGAACTCAGGCGGGGAGCAACGAACGAGCTACGAGCTGCGAGGGTCCATTGTTATGGGAATGCCAGATATGCGCAAAGAATCCATAATTGAGATTCATGCTCATGGTCTTTTTAACGTACTCGGGTACGACGCTTATCTCGTCTCATTTGGGGTCGAACTTCAAGTTTATTCGAATTCGAAAAATCGATGCCGACTGTCTTCTCACAGCTTCATTTATGCGCATCCGCAGAGCGCCCTACGTCACTGATGATCGATCGAGCTGGACTCTGCTTCGATTGCATGCATGTTCCTCCTTCCATTCATCCGTCCGAAACAGTAGACCCACAATTCTCACAAAAAAGATCAACTACATCTACATGCTCGATCTTGTAGATTCCGTGGTAGAGGATTTGTACTCATGGGTATATTTATTTGCGTGGGGCACAATTGCTGGCTTGAGTCGATGGATGAAGCGAGACCTCCCATCTATGCGGAGCTTCTAATCCCTCATCTGTCTGAGTTGGTTCTAGCATTCCGGGTATGATTGGGCATAGCTGATCGTCTCAATCACATTGCAACCCTCTTTCTGTTAGAAAGTTTTTCGATTGGTGGAATCGACGGCTTGTGATGACCTGAGTTTCTCGGACACGCTCAGTTTTGTGATCGGAAGTGTCGCTTCGAAAAATAATCCAAAAATCCGCTCAGGGAGCACGAATGATCAAAAAACCGGAACCTCGGGTTCTGAGTCCCACAGATTTTCCGTGAGCTAGGGACGCTGCCTCGTTCCTCTATTGCGTAGAGAGCCCGGACTGTTCGGGTTCTCCATGCGTGCGCATGAATCGCCTCAGCCAGAGTTGAATGTAGAATGTCAGCATTCGCTCGCAGGAGCTCTGCTCATTCCGGGTGGGAGATCATCACCGGCTCCACGGACGAGGAGGCAGTCCGAAAAGGAAGCCTCCCCGAGGTAGAGTCGGAGCACAGATGTGGGTCCGAAAGCATTTACCTTCAGAGAGTCTGGAAAACGACCTGAGCGCCCAACTCGGGCTTGAGCTCCCACGAGCTCAAATCTGAGGACCGGGCTCGAGACTTGCTCGGATCTATTCTTCGTATGTTGGCGGAGATGCTCGGCTTTCCGCTCCAGCTTCCTTGACATTCGAACCTTGAGTGAGATCGATCCAGAATGGATTTTCTGCACGAAGTCTGCCCTTGTTACCAAGGACCCTTCGAATGTCCCGAGCACGTTGGAGCCGAAATTCCAATCAACGGATGCTCCTCTCCGCCTGGACATTTTTTGGGACGGGACAGCGACTTATGCATTTCGGAACTTTTCCCTGAAGATGAGACTTTATTTTCATCCGACGCCGAGGGTATGACTTGCGTTGCTCCATGGAGGTCTTGAGATTCGCGCGATTGCTCGGCAGCAGGCTATCAAGGAGTTTTTCCTATAGACTTTGCCCAAAATTGTTTCTGTAGCTTTCCGCGACACCGATGCTGGGCCACCAGATTCTTTTGCTCCAGCCATGATTTTCCTGGTACCATCGGATTTATTCTAGCTCCGCTCGGCATCGGTCGTACCGGAACTTCGGCCACTCGTGTTACCAACCCGGTGAGGTACACATCCTCAATGAACAGATATTTGGGCTCGAAAAGCTTTTCGTACAGATCTCCCAGAACGCTCTCCGTGATCACGTAGAACGCGCCCTGTACATGCGGCGGGAACGTCTGATCCTCGTATTCGTCCAACGTGAGACCCCATTTATTGCAGCCTTTTCGTTTACACCTCAATGGCTTGCGCTTCTCACGGTAGTCGCCGTAAACACCGTCTGTGAAGTCTTCGAGAATGGAGCTCAACAGGGGCATGTTAACACAAGTATCATCGTCCGCCTTGATCACGACATCTCTACCGGGCCACGAGTTCCGCACTGCCCACATCACAAGGGCACAACTTTTCAGCGTGAGGTTCCTGTAAGTATCCACGAAATCAATCTGGACAACGTCCCCATGATCGGACACTTCTTTCGCGATTTTCCTCCGCTGCTCCTCACTGTAGTTCGCGGGTACGCCGATGAGGTAGACTACCCTCACGTGAGGCCAACTGCCCCAGCCTCTCCGGATCTCGTTCCGCTTCTCGAGGTTTCCGGGAGCTGAGGTCACCACGATCAAAACAGATTTTTCTTCGTCGAACACGTACGGCTCATGAATGACTCGGTATTCCATAGACCACGAAGTGTTTACAGAAACTTTGACTTCCGCAGTGCGTCGGCTCACTGAAAACTTGGTGGCTCGAGAACCCTGACTCCTTTCTGGGGAATGCTGTTCTGGATGCTCACGAACAATCGCCAGGAATATCAGCGCCAAAAAACTAATTAGGAACAGTGTCACAATCCGAAGCCTAGACCTCATGCCGCTCGCTTCACTGTCGACACGCTTGTGTCTAATTCACGCTGAGCAAAAGTGCTTGGCCCCTCTTTCCACGGCTCGGTGGTTACATCACATGATTCTCAAATTTATAATCGCTTTTGCTCGTTTACGACAGCGTTCTGTTGCAAGTATCGATAATGATGGGAAGAACGGCGCTATGGAGGACAATCCCGGAGCTCCTTTGGAACTCGCAGGTACTGGGCTCCAACACCGGCACCATGGAGCACGAGAGAGCGAAACAGCTCTGAGCGAGGTAGCGTCGGGCGGGGTTCCCTTCAACGGAACTAGGTAAATAGATTCCAATCCGCGGAAATCGATATGCTCTTCCGAACTTCTCTCGCTCACCTTCTCTGTGAAACTTATTTTTTTCTCGGGGCTTCGGCCCTGTCTCCCCCCATAGACGTCCTGTCGGGAGAGAGCTGCGAACGTCTTATTCGGCTTCTCGGAAGGAAAAAGCAGGAAAGTTGTAATGCTGGAAAGTCACGAGAGTTAATCTAATCTGATGATGAGTGACAATCATAAATCATTCTCGAGATCTAGATCTGGGTGGGAAACGTTCCCGCGTACCTGGAGCATGAGTCGATCTCGCGAGCCCTGAACCAGAAAGGTGTAGCTCCGCTGTAAGAAACTTTCCTGGAATATCGTTCAGTCTCAAGTCCAGAGGCATCGGAACCCGTCCATGGATTCATCTTGCCTCGAGAGCCTTCTCAAGTCTAGAGAATGGAAGCTTAGACTTTGCCAGAACAATCGGCGATGATGTTGCCCCTGTCTCCCATCTCCCTCCTGAAGACCAGTCTGTCGACGATCACTGTGAACGAGAGCTAAGGACGGTGAGGGCCGTATGGCTGAGTGTCAATGCCGAAACTTGGTCGGACGCAGTCCCCTGCTACCAAAGCAATAGGCGACGGATTTCGGACGCCCCTGACCCTTTCAGATCGGGCATCCCTTGCTGTGACGTACGCTCATGGGACGTGCCAGCTGTCAGTCAAACATCGACTGACGGGATTCAGTATCCGCGACCTTATCCTCACTCAATGTTAGAGGCACGTCTTCATCCCGAAAGAAGAGTCAATTCGTCGCCCAATCGTCCATGGTGTACATGGCCTTGGAGGGTAGGTCCTTGCTTCCTGGAACAGAAACTATCGATGGCACCGTCTCTCAACGGCAATAGGGTCGACGAAGTTCGTCCGCCAGATGATGGGCCTCTGGCAAGTCCCGCATCTTCGGAATTCATCAAGTGAGCCGAGAGAATCGGGAAGGACGAGGAAATCAACGGTCGAGGGAGCTAGGATTTTGCTTGCGGGAATGCGCTCCCCTCATATTTTCTGATCAGGAGACCTATCGCGAAAGTTGCTACCACATCGGCGTAGATCGAATCCCAGTCAATCGTCCACGAAGTTTGAGTCGCAATGGAGTTTGACTCTCGCGCCAGGTTAACTCTATTCGGAAGATGAGAATGGAGCATATTCGGAGGGGTCAGCAGATCCTGACCCATTGCTGAATCGATGATGCTACGCAGCAGAAAAATTAGGCCGGTCATGGCCTTGTTTCCCGACAGGTGGTCGAGTGGTGAGCGCGTTTGTCACCACCTGTGCAAACGTGCGTTTGACTTCGTGAAATGCCGCAACGACGCCGCTCGTGCGGGAGGCGGTGTGGGTTCGATCCTTGCTGCCGGAAAAATATTCCTTACGGGAATTCAGGTACTCGGCCTTTATCCTTCTGGGTACATTTGCTCTATGGATCCGTCCTCGGAAGCAATGTGAATAACAGTACCCGGGACAAACCTTGGCAGTGTGGTTCAGCCCGAAAATGTTGGCCTTGTTCCCACCCAAGTCCGCCTCACCCCATCATTATCGACGCCGAGAGAAGTACCTACAGGCATCGGAAATCGAAGATTGTCGAAGCGCTCTCAGCCGAGTGGGGATGACCCATCCGGTCGAAGGGCTTCGACAAGAAGCTTCAGTCGAGTACAGTGTTCCAGCCGAGGGACTTCGGTCAAAGGAATTCGAGTAGGACCCTCAGAGGAGGAGACCCTTTTGGATAGATAGCTCGGAGCGGTGGGAGCCAGTTTCCCGAAAGCTCCCTGACTTTCCCATACTAGCATAAATGTGACGGTTTCGAGAAAGGCTTGGATCGGAATTGTACAGCACAGTTTCGAACGGAGTCTACGACTGGAGAGAACCGACCTTCAACAAGCAAGTCCAATCTCTGTTCCTATGTCTCGCTGCATGAAATCGTTGCCTGGAGCCGGTCATGGGTCGTACGGAGCACTGGTGTCAAGCTCCGCGTCGCGGTTCTTTGCGCGATGCTAGGCGGACTCGATTCCGCTCCGTCCCTCGTGTCATACCCGAGGAGCGCCAGAGGGAGACCAATATTCCGGTGTGAGTGACGGTGGAGTCGCTTCAGAGCTCTGAGGAAATTGGCGTATGTCGTTCTCGTTGCGCTTGATTCACGCACCGAGTCGCGAGGGCTCCCAACGGTGATCACGTGAACGTTCCTCTACAGCAAGGGTTCCAGCATGAACGTTCAACGTCCCAACAACATCGTTTGTATTGATTGGTGCCCCTGGAACCGATATGGAGCCCACAGCTGAGACTGTTTTGAATTACCTCAAGGAGCAGAATCGGCCGTATAGTGTGACCGATATTTTCAACAATCTCCATAAAGGTGCATGGACTACAGAGAAAATTCGCGGACGGACTGGGATCCTCCTCCATCAGAACGAAGTCCTCCCACGTCGCTCAATAGAATTCGAATTTATACATATTTGCCGGTATGAAATACTGAAATCGTTCCCTAGCTATAGGGAAGACGGTTCTTCAACGGGACTTGGATTCGTTGGTTGGATCCGGAGAAGTCGTCGGGAAGACATATGGCAAACAGCGAATTTATTACGTTTCCCAAGAAGGCGAAATTGTGCCTCCGGAGGAAGATGTGGCGGCGATCGATCGGGAAATCGAGGCCCTCAGAGAAGAAATCGCGGTATGCAAAACGACCTCAGGTTTTTTTTCGCATAGGGGATTCATTCTCTGATGATGTTGTCCAAAAATATTTACAGAGCAAAGCGCAGCATGTGAAAGAATTGCGGACGCAACTGGACACCTTGAAGAGTAATATGTCTTTGGATCATTGTCGACGGGAAATTGAGCGTTTCACAGAGCTCAACAAGAAACTGAAGAGCAAAATCGAGATAATGGAGCCCCGAGGTACGATCCATGCTTGGGACACACAGCAAATCGATTCGATTCGCAAAGTCTCCATAGAGTAGGGGCCGCAATTCATGAGATTGTATGTATGGTACGAAGCCGTTTTACAGAGGGATTCGAGATCGATCGTGCGGAGCTTGCCTCCCTGACTCGGAGGAGGGATATCCTCTCGAAGGAGCTCAAGAAGCGAAAGAAAATTTGTGAGGACGCTTTGAGCATCGTTTTGGAGAATTGTCCCCTTAATAAGACGGAACTCGCCGACGAAATAGGTTTAGAAGTTGAGCCGTCGTAAGCCGGGTCGATGGCGTGGCGGAGACTTCCGGAACGTACACCGAGAGCGCCGATCTCGCTTCCGGAGACTGCATGTCATTGACGGATCAATCCGTCGTCATCCGAGGAACTGGAACTCCCGAATAGATCCGAGTCGATGATATTCTTAAAAATAAATTTGTTTTCAAAACTTCGTGAGAATGGATCTCTCCGATGCGCCAGACAGTTGTGCTGGCCCAGAGGGGAGAGCAAGGTCCACGGGGAACTTCGTGTTCTCGATTTTTCCCCTTCTTCGGTATCTCACCGGAAGAATCTCGAGATGAATTCCGGAGATGTCAGCTCGGATGCTCAATTGGACGTTCGACTGTTGCGTGGACTGTTGAGAAATAACTTTGTGGAAAGTCACGATGTCATCAGTGAGTCTCTTTCGCTTTCGACTCTCTTGATTTTTTTCTCGGATCGCCACTAAGCGAAGCGCGCAGCTCAGGAACTCATTTCAAGTTCACCCTTTTCTGTACGCTCTGCCTCGCAGAATGATTCACGTGCTCCTGCTGCTGAATTTTCTTCTGGCGCAAGGTGCCTTCAGCCGTAAGTAGCCTGGCAGTTCCGTGAGGCGAAACATGTTGAAACGTTTCCCGCCAGGCTTCAGATTGGAGTTTCTCGACTCCGATAACTTTCAACGGTGAGCCACCCGCTCTCAAATGATTCCATTCCTGCAGAGTGCGTGTACAAGGGACGCGCATTCAACACCGGCGAAAAAATAGCTTCCGACGATCCTTGTGAGTACTGCTTCTGCTATCGAGAATCTCTCCTGTGCCTAGCACAACCGTGTCCGCCACCGGTGCCGGGATGTCAAGAAGTCGCTATTGAGGGCTATTGCTGCCCGCGGTACGAATGTGGTAAGTTCGTTTTATATCACGATGCTCGCGCTGTAGCAATCTTCCACGATCCGTGACGATTCCCCCTCCCAGTCTCTCATGGAGGTCTAGCCGAGGGACGTCCAGGAGCCGAACTTCGACTCTATCCTCGAGGAGCCTCACATTCTCCTCGGTTTCAGATACCTACGATATAGAGACTTCGAGCAATAGCTCTTCATCTTACACGGACGAGGTTTCCCGATCCGGTGAAAACGGTTGTCATTTTCGAGGGACGGTCGTACCACTGGGAAAAACTGTGACGCCCTCCTCGTGTCAGGTGTGCGAGTGTCTGGAGAGCGGATTGAAATGTTCCCCCAAGGAGTGTCTTCGCTTACCGTATCCCCTCGAGAAAATGGCGAAGAATCAAAAGAAAATCGGATTCTAAAGTTTGTTCGATGACTCTGTAGTTGTCCCTCTCTCTTACGCATTCCATGAAAATGGAAAAAGAAAATAATTCATTCGAGGCGAATGACGATCCGAGTTGAACATCAGCGATCCTGCTCGGGACTTCTGACGATCAATAAATTGCCATAAAGACTTCGCTCGCTCCCTTGTTTATTAAGAGCCTCCTTCCACGGAGGAACAACTTGTTCGCCTTCCGGACCGGCTGTTGCAGCTGTCGGCTCTCACAGTCACCGCAACAGCCGGTGGTTCCCACGCCTTCGCAAGAGAAAGCGATACGATTTGACTTCATGTCTCCGACAGCGATGATCACCCTCCTCAACGAGACCGCACCCGCGGTTCCCGCACGGCATCGCAGACTCAAGACGATAGAGAGCGCTTCGATGAACAAGTTCAAGTCTCGCGTGCGCAAACGCGTCAAGATCGCGGAAACAGGCATCTTCTCTCGGAACTTCTGCTGTTCACTCCTTCACGCCGAAGGAGCTAATCCGGCCATAAACGATACCTGAATGTAGCTTGCAACGAAAACGATGCATTCTCACGGTAATGAGCGCAGCCATGTCGGAGATTTCACGGGGCGGAGAGCCGTGAAGCCGATAGCGGGATGGGCATAGCGGGCGACTGCTATCCGATGAGGTTGTTTCGAAGTCTTTGAAGTTCGCGGCCGGGTGGTCGAATAACAATGGCGACTCCATCTGGCGCTCACGTCTTTGGGTGTCGGGAGTCAGAATTCTTTGCCACCCAATTCGATCCGGCAGATGGACGAATAGCGAACGCAGCGATGTCGAATTCGTCTGTGTGTTCCTTGGTCGGTCGGTTCGTCCGTCTGCTTCTCCTCGTCGTATTGTAACAGTTGTATGCGGACGGAGTTCTGTCGCCACAGTCTGTTCTCGTCTCGAATGGAGAGAACACCCACTTTCGAGATTATTATGCGGCGTATGCCAATCGCTTGGGTGTTCTCCCTGACCGGTTGACTCTTTTTGAAGTCATTTCACTCGCTGACGAGCCGCTCGATACGGCTTCAATCAGTTCGTGATGGAGACATCCAGAGCTCATGTGGACCATGGGCTGAAGAGCAGTAAGAGAAAAATGAGCGAACCCCAATAGGAGAGCCCAGCACATCACTGGGCATCACAACAGTCACACCGTGCCGACGAGGCGCTGAAGTGTTCGATGAGTCTTCCTGAAAACACTGGCTGGGCCTCCAAGACCGCCGAGACCCACCCGTCGGTATAATTCCAGCTCCCGGGAATCCGCCGGGTCGTGCGATCCAAAAATCCAACAGCTTCGCTAGATAGGCTCCGGGAGGCAATGATCCCCTCGACGACCGCGAGGCTCGATGCGGACGTCGGTGCAGTCGGTGTGTTTTACGAAGTTTTGACCCGGCTCGAGACGGCCGGTCCTCAGGGCGAGACACAAGAACGAGCGGGGGCAGGTCAGGGGCAACGATGACCCGATAGAATCTCGGCCCGTGGGCCATCTGAGCGGCCGTCCGGCCTCGGCGATCCGAAAGGGCGCTGGGATGGAATTTGAAATTTGGCGCGACCGTCGATCGGCGGGAGGGTATGCCCACCAGCCACTCTACCCTCCTCTTCTCCTCGACTCGTTCTGTGGATGTCTCCTAAACAGTACCTCCCGAGCGGTGACAACCCCCGCTTCCAGTGACAAAAACCAGACCCACAAATCTCTACCGTCTTTCAATCACTATGGAGGCACCGAATTCACCATCCGAGGTAAGGGTTGAGCTGTAACCTTAACAACGGCCGCGAGATGTTGCTTTTTTGAGAACAGACTTCGATTTTCGGACCCGAAATACGGTAACCCCGACCTTACGGGTGCTGGACCGAATTTCTCTTACAAATTGACTTTTCGGAGGAATTCGTAGTTCCGTGCCACAGGCAGATCTGCGGCTGATTTAGGAACAGTCCGAAAAGTGACGTTTAAACGGAAGAATCGGCTCGGAATCCGTTCTCTGTACCCGTCCCGTCTGTCGCATTCTCCGTGCTGACCCTTATAGTGAAGCGGAGGTTGACGTCGACCGGATCAGAGAGGGGGAGTTCCAACCGCGGCGTTTTCTAGAGCTCGGTTCTACGGTATCGATCGACCCGACGAAGTTCGGAGAGGTCTATCAGCACGCAGATTTCATGGGAGCTCGATCCCTCTCCGCATCGAATGATTGAGCGGGACCTTAAGCGTGACCATGCATTCGAATCGCGACGCTGGCCAACTCTCGGTCGCAAAACTCGCGACAAGCTCACTCCTGAGCTTTCTCTTCGGAATTTCCGCTCCTATCCGGAGCTGGGTCCTCATTGAGCCGCGATTCGGATCCCGTTGAGCATAATTTCGACTCGCGAAGGATCAGAAACCGCTCGAGCGCCGATCGGACGTCGGATCGGAAGTCGAACTCCTGAGAGCCTCGATGACAATCGATTGGGCTCCTTGCAGGTTTCTAGCACGGAATCCCACCGTACCCGTATCCTCTGACAATGACTTATGAAAATAATTTCTGATCGATACGTTCGGTAATGCATAGAGCAAAGCGCCGTCTAGCGCCAAAAATGCGTCCCAAATCCCTTTCCTAACTGGTGCGAGTTTCTCTGCGAGTGCTCCCTCTTTCTCTCCCCCGCTCGTGAGCAGTTCACCAGAGCTTCGTGTAGTCGTCATTGAATGGTGCTACGTCCACCTCATTCCGAAAGTGGCGAACACCACATCAGCATCACGGCCAGCTGCTCGCGACATCGAGGCCTTCAACTTTTTCGAACGAGAAACCTCCACAGTTTGTTGTTGAAGTGAAATTTTTCCGTGATACCGTCCGAGAAATCCATCAGTGACATATCTAGTGCCCAGGGAGACACGAATATTCAACCGTAAGTGTAGAGCTCTGTAAAAATTCGCTGATCCAAGCTGCGATTGGGGAAAATCCATCGAACGCGGACAGGAAGGACGAGGAAGTGAGAGCCAACGAGATGTTTCCTCAAGCAGCGAGCGTTTGTGCTTTCGAATGAAGTTAATGAGCTGTTCAAGGCGATCTTCAACGTGAACGTGAGCTCGGACGGGGAAATGTCGTCGTTCCGATACGTGGAGCGAACGTCCGGCTGGCTGGCTGACTGAATGCCTGTAGCGGAGGCAGGCCCGCTGCGTGCCGCTAGTTCATCGTCGGTACGGCAGGATGAGGTGATGACTTGCCATTCTTGGTCTTATCGCGTTGTTTCGAACGCGGTCGACTCTCGACAGGCGACTCGACGGGAACGGGCGTCGCCCATGAGTGTTTTGCTCTATGCGTATTCGCTCCTCAATATGGAATCGGTCGTCTGGACCGTCGAGAATTCCACGCAGCGATTAGTACTCCCGACGTCTGAGAATCCTTATTATTATTATTATCGATCTGAGGTGGTTTTACGCAGGAAACTTCGTTTCGCGACGTGAATATTTCGATGATTGATGCGGCTTCGCTCTATCGTGATCGTGGTCGCCGGCGCCGTCATCGCTTTCGTTGCCTCCATCAATGCTTCGATAAGAGAAGAATGGTCTGCGGTCGAGGGCGTTGGTACCTCCCGTATCAGTCCGCGACGACGGGCGATGTCGAGTCCGTTTAGAGGCCGGCCGACGGACAGCTTTTTGTCGCATTCAATGCTCTCCTCCTAGAATTTCTGCCCGTTTCTCGGAATTAGCTCCTCCTCGCTCGAGGCTCCGCCACAGCGTTGCGATTCCCCGTCCGCCGCGTTCTCCGGCTCGCTCGCCGCTGAGTCGACGTTCCCGAATTGAGGCTTGGCACTCACGTTTTTTTGGACGGGGGCTTGGCCGAACAGAGAAGAGTCCGTCCATGCATTAATCGATCGTTCAGAGGGTGCTCCAGCTGGTTGTTTTAGCGCGAAGCTCTTCTGCCCGCTTCCCCGCAATCGTTCAATCAGATGCAAATCGAAGTTGACCACAAATGGGTAATTTAGAATCCCAGCTGCGGATTCCAAACAAAATAACCAGCAGATATGGAGCCGTCGAGCAACCCCGAGCGGCTGAAAGATTCGTGGAACGCACAGAACCGGTGTGACCGGAGCAAAACAGAGCAATGTTTACAAAACCTATCTCGTCCAAAGTTCATCATCGTCGCCACAGTCATCGCGACCGCCACCGCCGTCGATCCGGCGTTCAACGGCGCAAGACTATCCTATTCCCATGGAGTCCGCGAATAGCACGCGAGAGGTCTTCCGCTCAGCGAGCAAGTGAAATTTTTGCGGTATCCGACTCGAACGAGAATCTCGAATCTCCTTATTCGGGTAGAAAGTCGCCATGGGATTTTGTCGAACAAGGATGAATGCGGCTCAGCATCGAAGTCCACGGCTCGTCGATGCGTGAGTACGGCGCGCGTAGCTTCGTAAATCTCTCGCTAGCAAGCCCATGTGATGCATCGATGCGCTGAACACAAGTATGGCGAAGTGAGTAGTCGTATTGCTCTTTGGTATGTGTCATCCTCTTCCGAGCGCTGGCTTCTTGGTCCGGGGAAGTGTTCGTTGCGTCGCAGCTGTAATCTGCGGAACCAACTCAGATAATTCAACGAGGGAAAAAGTGACTCATCTTGCCCCTAAGGGACGCCATCTGGCTTCTCACTTAAGGCCCTTGGTCTCCACCTGTTCAATTGGATTCGCCCCAATCCCCTCCAACACACGAGCTCTCCCGCACACACACGAACGAATGAATATAGTACGGCTCGAGAAGGAGCAATGCCACCTGGTTAGTACTTCGAGCGAGCAGAATAATTTGCGCGAGTTCCTCCTCGTCGGCCAGCGACTCCCCTCCTCCACTGCGAGCTGCTCCTGGATGATCGAACTGGAAAAAAAAGTATAGAACCGATGACACCGGGCCCCGGGACAGAATTCTCCGCAAACGTGACCTAAGGCGTGACAGTTTTCCGTGAACTGTTCGACGGACCTTCAAGGGTGGAACCGATTCAACCGAACATTAATTCGTTGTGGGTTTACGACCTAGACTGTTACACGCATTGTCTCCAGCTGAAGTTTTTTTTCGTTTCTTACACTTAACTATGCTCCTCGACCAGCTGCGAAGACGTTGCCGTACGCAGGGCTCTTAACCAGCGATCGGTCTCACGGTGATGCAACGGTCAGTGACGACGGTCCAGCAGTGCTCGTGGACACTCACCGATGGCAGAGAGTCCCTTTCACACACACACGGGTCCAAATTCAAAGGTCAGGGTATTCCCAGATGAGGAGTGTGTCAGGTGCTCGGAGCACTAAACAACACACAGTGGACCATGAATGTATGTAGCAGGTTCGAGAGCAGGTGTCGACCTAGCGGACCGGTTAGTCAATCTGTCGGTATATGTACCTGTCCGCTCTCGCTCGCTCTGAAGAATTTGAGTGGTGAGCTGGTAGTTCATAGTAGGCGCTGGAGTCGCACTAGCAGTGACAACAGCTTTAAGCAATGGGGAACGACACACCTGGAGTCACTGACCGCGAAACAAAAGGACCTCGTCGCCGGTGCCGCCGGTGCTTGCTGCTGCAGTTTCTGCCGCCGAGGCCGCTGCCACCGCATTCCATACCACCGGTGGCAGTCGATGCCAACCAACCAATCAGTTAGTCTGTCGGTTTTCTATCTGTTATTGGCTACCGGTACGAACCTCCACGAAGACGTTCGTTATCGAAACGGAGCATCGCTTCTCCAACGCTAACCGGTGGATGTCGGAGACGATACGTCGTCTCGGCTATCGACGAGCTCCGGTCCCTGAATCGATGATAACCTCCCCAACCCGTATCAATGAGCAGAATTCGATCTCATTTGTGGGAATGTGAGACAATCGGAGAGCAAAGCGAGCGCGGGCTCACGTGACGTACGTACTACCTGAACAGAATAATCGTCTCATGGATGCATTGCATCATCGAGCCATAAGGGAGGGAAGAGTGTCGACTGGCGGTTGTCCGAATGAGTTGCAAGAAGCACAGGTGCGTGAATGAAACCTTACTTCACCATGGGCAACAATGGCTCTCGGAGCGACGAGCGAGGCGATGGCCCACCAACTCGGCGGAGTAAGAAAAAAAATGGCCCATGGCCATGCGACCAATTACGTAGCGTCTTGTTTCTGGAGTCTTTCCTCTGACTGAGCAACTGCCGGCGAGAACCCGACGCTCTGGGAGTCTTTGACCGAGCGCCCGGATTGAATGGATTTATACCATGGCATGCTCATTCACGAAAAAGTCAGCGCCCATTGTTGGAGAAAAGTGGTTCACATCGCAGATCTCCGTTTGGCCTGGGAGTCCCCCACGGGCACAATCAGAGGTTTCTGACCGACCGGATCTAGATCCGAGCGGCAATTTTTTTTTATCCCTATGTGGCTTTTGTAGAGAATCGTCGTGTGCCTGCCAAGCAACAAACCAACTGAGCGGCCGACCAAGCGTCTAACCGCCCCGCCGTCGACAGCGGAGCGACCAAGCATCCAGTCAGACTCGACGCACCTGCACACCGGCCTTGATTTTCTGGTGTTGAGCTTTCCGGGCCTTCGACGGCTGGAAGAGAGGCACAACCGAAAAACGACAAACATAGAACGGAGCGGAGGATCCTCATCATTTCGGTCTGGGGGGGAATCACCATAATCGGTGTGTTGTACTGCCAAATATGTACACATTTGCGTGGTCACTGAGTCGTTGTATGTACATGTTTCCGTCGCTGCCAACGGCGATGTAGTCGTCGGCGCAGTCATTCAATGAACTGGAGTTGTGACCGATGTACGAGTACTTTACGTACAATAGTCGTATAGACGTCCGAGAGAACGGTTCCAATGGTCGCCAATCGTTATAAAAGGGCAAGATGATGAAATCGCCATTTTGAACGAGAGATTTCTTTGTCTCCTTTCGGGCACAGGACCGTCTCGGCGCAGAGCAAGCGAAGGGGTTTCTAGTGATCTTGAGATTTTCTTGTGCAGGTGACGTTTTTTTTCCGTCCGTTTTCACGCCCGTTGTGCTTCTGCCGCGGCGACGACAACGCTAAACGGAATGCCTTGCCGCCTTAAACGACAACTACGATCGCTATGATGATGATAGTAGTAGTAGTGACGAAGCTGTAGTCAAGTGAGCACGGAGAAAAAGGAAAAGAGACTCGCCGGAAACCGACAGTCAGGTGCATTCACATGACTATGGTTCCGGTCGAGGAAGTCAACTCTGCCAACGCCCCCCTTACCTACGGCGAACGGAAGGAATACAACACGAAGAACAAACTTTACAAGGAGCCGTCAAGCCAGGCAGCGGTTTCCTCTGGCTACAGAGAAATACAGCCGTCGCGATATTCTCGAATCTGTGTCCTCCAGTTGATCAGGCTGCCGGGCCCGGGTTAAGGTCTAGGATTTTGTCTAGCTTGGAAATATCCGAATCGAGCTGCAGGCGGGGAAAGCGGCGATTCATAAACATTCGCATGTACAAACGAGGGAAACGACAGAATTACGACAGCGACACTGTAGCTGAGGCTCGAAATCGTCGGTGGCTCCGGTGCCTCTGGCTCTCTCAATCGTCTGTTTAGTTTCGCGCTCGCACATTTGTGTTTCGTCGACTCACTGATTGAATTGGTTGGACTTGAGCGCACTCATTCATCCTTACATTCATTCACTCATCCATCCATTCTCCTGTTGAATGAACACCGTGTTCTTCTCGAGCTGTCGTTCGCCTTCTCTCGCGATGCGACGCGTTGGTGGCCCGATATTGGAGACGGCAGCCGGAACAAAAAACTTGTTTGTCACTTGATTCTCACGAAAATCTTGGAAGACACTCAAGGCTCTCCGCGAGCTAGCTGGCGTTCCGTCGCTCATGCTGTAGAAGATGGCAGACGAATAAATTCCGCTTAGTCCTTGCTCCTCGAGCGAACGTACGTGCGGCCGAAGCCTTCTCTGGCGTACAACAGCTTTTCGTGAGCAAGGAACTTGTTTGATTCCAAAATACAGCGGATTTCCTCGGAACGAGGTTGAACAACGATCTGGAGGAGCGAGCGAGCGATGGCGATTGATAGGGAAGTAAAAACAGAAAACCCAAGAGCTGAATCGAGAACACACACGGAGGAAAACGTCGAGGGGGGCCGCCAGATTCTGCTCACAATGAGCTGCCCGTTAAGCGACGATGTCGCCGCCGCCGCCGATGACCGGTTTAACTAGCTCATCGAAAATGTTCTAAGAAGCGAGTTTTACCTGGAGGATTACGACTCGTAAGTGCAGCGTCAATTTCGTTGTACGCTGTCGTTTCTGTTCGTACGATTTTACTCCGTTCAGATCTCATACACTTATTACGTTCCTCAGTCAACGACAACGGGGTCAGCACTCCGTACGAGAGCCCGAGCTCATTTTCGCGCGCATTCCGCCCCGAGATCCTTCCGATTTTCTCCAAGCTCCCCCGCGAACGGCAACTCATTTTAGTCAACGTTGATGCAGTCGATGTCGTTACAACTTGCATGAGATTGGCTGCGTCGATCTCAACAAAAGCAGAGCATTCCGTCACCGCGTCCGCCACCCCGCTGCACTGGAAGTCAATAGAGTCCGCCGAAGACGACGATGACAATGTACTATAGTGATATGTTCTTCTGTCGCCCAGACAGCGTATTCTGTATCAGAAAACGATCAATATTCGAAATGGGAAAATTATGCAAATATTTCGATACCGCTGGCACGTCAGGTTTCTATCACGGCGCGTCAGTCGTCTCCGCATTGCCCGACCGACGAAGGCGAAATTTAACACCTGCGATATGTGCGCTATGCGTGTAACTTGAGGTTTGTCGCAAGCCCTCGCGCAAAGCCCGCAACAGAGCGTGGTCAACGACGTGGCAAATGGAAAAGCGTCCGCCACGTCGAGACGCGACCCGTCTCATCGAAAGATTGGTCGAAGCACGGAGTGATTCTCCGAAGCGGATTGTCCCTTGTCTACCGGCCTCGCTCATCGCATATTGAAGTTCAGAATCACGATTCCATCAGGAAAAACGTCAAAGAAAAACGAGGGGAAACAGTGAAGCGAAAGGCCACGGCGACGAAGGCGGCGGTGATGTATCTGAAGCGGCAGCTCTCAGAAGTTCTTCTTTCGCTCTCTCTCTTCCATCGGCTGCTCACGCGCTCCGGTGTCTTTCTTTGCCTCGGGTTCGGCCCGCACAGAGCCCGACGCGGGAGACGCGAGCGAGTATGGAGCAAGCCGAACAAAAAAACGTAGAGAAAATACGTGAGAAACGAGGAGAGCAACGGTAGGCGAGTCCAGGAGGAGGAGACGTCATTGCCGACGCTGCCGCCGTCGCTCCACTGAATGGTTCTGGTCTGGGGATCGATCAGAGTCGTTAGGGGGCTCCCTACTCCCTGGCGACATTACAGACGGAAGAATGAACGTTTCGGACATCTCTCGTTGACTTCGGCTGCTTGTCATGACGCCGCCGCTAAGTCCGCATTCTTTCATTTTTAGGTCATTGTTGGACGACACTTGAAGATTTTTCTTTCTTTTCCTTGTCACGTTCAGAAACCTTTTTCGATTCGGCGGTAGATCGCTCCGGGAAAAATACGAAAAGTTTCCGTTCACCGATCTCATCGTACGCTCATTGCGTGAGTGAGGGAGCTTGCGGTAATTCCTAAAAGATTTCCGCGGGTCCAGAGCATAGATGCGACCCGTGGATCCTTATCGGCATCTACCTATCTGTCTCTTTTTTGTGAGTGTTCATCACCAAAGAGTCGCGGTATCATCCTTCATCAGGGAGATGAGTTGCACGCTACCGAAGGCATTTACCTTCCTGGCGGTTCTCTTCTCGGTATATCGGATCGGAGACGGGTTTCTCCGCGCTTATCTGCTGATAGGGCTCCGTTTAACAAGCCCAGCTGAGAAGCTCGCCTCCGATCCGGACTTTCAGACTGAATCGAGATACCCGAAGTTCATTCAAGAGCATTCATTCGAGGGGAAACTGGAGCTCTTTCCTCCTTGATGTACCTCCTCTTTTCAAGAGATGAGAGCCGCTCCGAAAGTAAGCCGATCGATTCGCCGACCGTCGGAACGATGACGGAATAGTCGTCGTCCCGGACGTCCGACACCGGCAAGAAACTCGCCCCGAAGGGGATGACTAAAAGCGACCGCTCACGTTGCTCGAAATTGAGATGTCAAATCATCGGGCTTGTGGAAAACCGTGAAAACTCTCCGTCGATTCGCTCGAGATCCGTTCGAAGAATCTCGGAGGAGAAAAACTCTAATTCCTGCTCGATTACTCCGAAGAACGTCTGATGGTAAAGCGGACATGCGACGCGATTTTCGACTCGCCCCGCGGGCTTCTCGTGAAGACCGGTTTCTACTCGTGTAACTTCCAGACATTGAACTAGGCGTCGAACTGTGCATCAAATTATAGTCCGCACGCCAGGTGCGTTCCTTTTCTGGGACGTATCGCGAGACAAGGCGAGGCGGCTCGACGACCGCATCGGATCGCATCTATCTTTCCTTTCGGTCATCCGTCGGCCAGGCTAGTCCACACGCCAAAGCGAGATATCTTTGGCCAATAGATTATCATCAAAACAGAAACAACATCTGGCAGACTGACTGACTGACCGACCGACCGAGCAAACGAGGTATTCAGCGATGCATTCCTGGACTAGAACATTGATACTTCGAATCTTAAATCGACTTGTTGCAAGATCCGGGTAGACGAAAGCTCCGTCGACGTCACCGGCGCCGCGCCGTTCTCGCGAACAGCATTGGCAGCGTCGTGTCGGCGACGACGACGTTCGCACAGGCGTCTAAGCGCAGGTGTTTTAAGGCGTGTGAAAATTTGTATTTCTCACCTCTGAATCTTCTCTCGCTGGCTACGAAGCCGAAGGAAAATAACAAGACGGAGAAATCGTCTAGTTACCTTCTGTGCGTGACATTTTCTGTGATGTCGAAGAATGCAGCATCGGGGTACCTTCGATTCCTCTTGTTCATTTTCCCTGGCTCACCGAGCACCGTTCCTCTTACGTATGTCGGTTTTAGGTTCCACAGCATCAGAATCCCGAGGAGTCTGATCATGCTCCAGATCAGAAAGAAAAGCTCTAAATCGATTACTTCTTCCGCAGATGGTAACTTCGAACGAGTCCTCGGTCGCGAATCAGACACCCGGGGTAACAGGAGTATCAGCGCTCAGCGCGCGATGGGCTAAACTCCGAGCGGATCCGGCGCTACAGAGATCGGCCGCTCTCAGAGCACGATTAGCGCGACGGGAGCGACGCAATCGTCAGAGGATCCTCCGCCTCCAGGAGTTCCATCGACTTCGGTCCATGGTACCCACGATCGCGCAGACGCCCAACGTCGATAAGGTGAGTGATCGTAGGCCGTGGATTTCGGAGAGCGCGTTTGTTCACCTAAGTGACAACACTGTGTCACTTTATGTTCGGAAAGAAAGCCGGTGCGTCACCACAATAAAGTAGGCAGCTAGGCAGTAGGTAGATGGCTAGCTAGCTAGCGCTCTGGCTCGAAGAACGGATCAAGCTATCTTAACGCATTCAAAACGCGACAATGGAAGGCCATCTGCGAGTAAGTTACTCTTTGTGGAGTACATGCGTACACACGGTACAACACACGGCGGAGAAGAGGCTGGATCGCTAAATCTCTCCTCAACTTGATCACAAGTCAACATTGCATGCTCGGTGAATCCGTTTTGGTCCGGTTTGCGCTCGTATTTTGCCGCCGAAGGCCAAGTCCGGGAAGAGAATGCGAGCTCCGCCGATCAAGTGAAACCGATTGTATCATTGTTATTATGTCCGCGCTGATGCTTAGCCGAGATAGCAAATCTTCGAGGTGCTCGCTAGTGGCATCGGGGCTTTGTATTCAAAGTGTTTCTCCTCGTTTACTTGTCCGGCAGTAGCGGTAGCAGCGGCGGCAGCAGCTGCTACTTCACAAACGGCATACATAGGCGCCATATGGCGCGGAGTGTATGGCTTGTTATTTGTGGTGCCGGTTGCTTGCAGCAAGAGCGAGCCTCTTCAACCAGCCCTATTTTCAAGCATGTTAACTCTCATTGCGACGACAACGACGACGACGACCACTAGTCAAACCCCACAAAATTCGGATAGGGGGAAGCAATCGGTCGAGGCATCCGTGAGCGCTCCGGCTTCTGGGCCATGTCCGAAATATCCGTTCGGACTTTGAAATAAATCTTCGAGGACATGCCATCGATTATTCGAGATTCACGATTAAAATTGTCGACAGCATCTCTGCTTGAGACGACCCCGGATAAAATTAGTCGTGTCACAATCTCTTGAGAAGTACTGTCATCGAGTACCCCCCACGCCGGTGGTGGCAGATGGTGCGACGAGCTGACCGACCTGCCGACCGACCGACGGACCGATCTTCGGATGCCCCGTACCAGTCTGAACCACAATAAAGGAACCGTGACCCACTCATAGGGAGGAGGTTGATAGTCGAAAATTACTCCGACCTTCTCTCAGATCGCCAACTCGGGGCGAGATTCGAATCTTTCGAAGCCAACAAGCAACGAGAAAGTCAACGACGGGAAACCTCCAAAATGCATTAGAAACTTCCTGATACAGAGTACCCATTGAGTCCACGGACACGATGGTTAATAATAATAATCGATTAGCTCCCGACTCCCGATGATTTTACTCTGGCGCTTCGGAACGACTTCAGGGCGCGAAACTTCCGAAATCCGGAGACGATATTCTCGAAATGTTAGAGGAATGCAGGATCGTTCTTCTCATACCGAGAACTCCAACGACGTTCAGTTCGTCGGCAGTAATAAGGCAGCTTGGAATTCGGGAAAGCAGCGAGTCAGCTGCTCGTTGAGGCATGACCATGAACGTGGACTCAATGCCTTGGAAGAAAGTTGACTCAAGCGTTCACCGAGCCGCTCGTTGTCGCCTCTCAACATGCTGTACTCACTACATATGAGCGGATCAGAATGTTTGAACGATCGACTGGATGTCAACTCAGCAATACGTACATGGTCGAACAATCCAGAGAACGCCGCCGAATGAACTCTCATACCCGCGGCACCGAGCGAGTTTTTCTCTCCCGTTCGTGACGGCGTTCATTGCTCGACTGTTCATTGGACTCATTTTCGAAAACACACACACACAGATCGTGTATCGTAGCTCCAATAAACGTTCATCGCTCGTCCTCAGGGGGTCCAGTGCAGTCGTTGTCAGTCGTCGTTCTTTCAACATATCGAGCATTTAAGAATCAGATCGACTATGAAAACACGTAGGGAGGCCGTTTTTGACTCGCCGTCTCCAATTCGTGTTTGTGGCCGTATATCGTATTCGTCCCCTGCTTTCTCTCTGGAGTAAACACTAAAGCTGGTGCTCGACATCTCGAATCTGCTTTGAAACGTCTCGTTCAAGGAACTCTTGTTGTTGTCTCGCCCCGAAATCTATGAGACAACCAGCGATGTATGAAGAGAGGTCATGAATCTGAGCGGTCCTTTTTTCGGCGCTTCGCGTCCGTTTTTGTGTCCGAGTCTCCGTGTGATCCGAAAGCGAACCTGAGTGATTTTTTCCCGTGCATTTCTCGCCCCAATGTCTTCGGTGGCGATTGCCTTGGCTCGCCATCTTGGCTTTTTCGACTTCCTATGCTCTGCTGCGAGAACTTCTCCAGCATCCAGGTGACCGACTAGGCGGCAGAAAAAATGTTCCATCCCGTCCTTCGACCGATGCGCGAGTGTTGTCACAAATTCCTGTCGCCCTCACGAAGAGCAATACCAGTGTCGTCGACGGCGCGTCGGCCATGGTGTTGCCCCCCGAGGAATTCAGGGCCAGATGGTCTCTGGGGTGAAGGCGGACAGGCGAACGCACTCGGATCAGCAGTCGACCCCACGGGCAGGTAGCTAGGCAGATGAGGTACACATGGTTGGCTGCATTGCGCCACACAATCTGTCCGCCGCCTTGAATACCTACTACATGTGGGAGTGGGTGCACAACCTCGATCGGTGGCGACCGTGACTCATGTGCTCATCGCATAAGTGCATTCCAGCACGGCCCCGCTAACGAACGGTACCTATTGGGGGCCATCGACAGTCCGCGCGACCTGAACTTGGCCGCCTGCTCACCGACTGCTCGGTGCTTGGCTCGCCCGTCCGCCCGCCTGCTTGCCTGCCGACCCACCTACCAAGCAGCCATATGCTGCTCGAAATTAGTCCGGAGCGCTCAAGACAGATCTTCAAGCCGAACCCCCGACATATTGGACAGGTGCGGTGTTCACCTGCGAACGTTTTTCTGGTATTTGGAGGAAGACACCAACTGGACCGGTGCTTTCGTACACACGCACTCTCGCGAGTCCTAGCGATCGCCGAAAAGAAAACACCTTCGTCTTCTTAAGTAACGGCAAATCAAGATAACGGCAGATGAGCCCTAATGAGATGGCTTCGCATTCTCACTGTGCGTTCATCAGTGACCGTATAAATTCTCTTCTGCCCACGGTCGTGCTCCGGCATCAGATTAAGTGTATGGTGCCTGCCTCGCGCTAAATCTCGGACTCGTGATTATTGTTGATTTGGAGAAGCTGATTCCTCTTCTGAACACTTCACGCTCGCTCGCCTTACGGACATCTATCTTGCGAGAGGTATGATAGCTTCAATCACCCGATCCCGACAGCTGACTTATGACGGTCGAGCCGACGCAGTGGGTGCGGGTCAGACGAAAGGGGTATCCGACGTCGGCTTGTACCCCAGGTACGGAGTTCGGATCTTATTCTCCGGACATGGAAGAACAGAAAATGCGGAGCAGATTCCGTGCGACAGTGGCTCTGTCTACGGCCGACGCCGCGGTCGACTTCGTCTTCAACCGTTAGACGTTCCACGAGCGAAGAATCGCATCTTCGGTGGGGCTGGCTGGCTGTCCTCCTTCTCTTGATCCAGCTGCTTTCCCACGCTCCGCTCTTTGTAGCACAAGCCGAAAACGATACCGCCATGTCACACGGGGAAATTCGAAAATAACAGGACATATGTATCGTCGGGGAATGCGACTTCTTCGAAAGGGCAGCGGATCGGTGGCACGAACGACTCCTTGCCGTCAGGATACGCGAAACTTTCAAAATGGACATATATTCGCTGCGCGACTCGAGTCTAGCATAGCGGGCAGCAAGGAGGCTCAATTTTCAGACCGGTGTGTCAGAGTTAGGCTTCTGAGCCAGCCGTCGCGTCATCGAGTTCAGAAGGGGATCGAGGCTTTCGCTGCTGTCTGGGGGCATCAAAGAGTGGGACGAGTTGATGTTATCATCTGTCCTCATTGTTAAGCGAGCAATAAGCGAGAAGGTGAGAACCGACGACGGACCTCAATGATCGACCATCTGTTGTCACCAAACACGTTGGGACACGGGCGATGGTGTTGAAGACGGTGCTCATGCCACACAAAGGTGTTCGCCGCCGCCGCCTTCGCGTTCGCTTATTCTCCTCGGAGTTCGGCTTGAAGAAAACACGGTTTAGTATGCAACAGCGGCGATTACGCCCATGGCAGGGGAACGCCGACTTCGGCAGAGGGCAAAAAGACTACCTACTCATCTGAGATTTCAATCGGATCCGTCATATCGAGGATTCAAGCGCCCACGACTTGAGCGAAAATCGAGAAGTTCTCCGCGATGAGTGCGAAACATCGGATGCGGCCTAGCGCAAGCCAGAAGCTGCAGATTCTGTTTGATGTTTGACGACCGCGGGTTTCTCTGGTGTCAACTTCTGTTGTTGTTGGGCTATATGCATGCATGCATTCATGTATGTAGGTAGAAGCATTTCAAGATGAGGCGGTCTTTGTCGGCACCGGCTCTGGCGCATCGTAGAGTCTTCATCCATACAAATGATTTACGGAACTCGACATCTCACTCGAAGACCCCGCAGAGGAACGACTCACTTTTCAAAAAATCGTTTTACTACCACCGTGATGAAGTCTCTGAACACGTGTTCACTTATTGAGAGTTTTCTTCTGGAGGAGTACCTAGGCTGTCTCTCCATCTTTATAAATCAAGTGACTTGTGAGTTTCTGCGAAGATGCACCCAGAACGACCGTATCCGAGCCGGATGGGGAGGCAATCTTGACAGAATGACATCTCGGATGATCGGGAAAGCCCGGTGAGCGACGAAGAAAAAGGAAACCGTCTTAAAATGCGGTTCTCTCGCATTGAACTCCCCGAAATCCTCAGCGAACAGAAACTATGATCGAAGAATTGCATCGTGCGAGTGATCGGAATCTGAATCGCGCGGAGTGATGAACTGTCGATTCGAAGCAACGAAAAGTTTCGATGGGAATGCAGTAGAGCCGCGAGCGTCTTAGTCACCAGCCACCCTCGATCTTCTCATTGTGACACTCACGTGACAGGCTCGTGTTTGCGTTTCCCATACAAGAGCGGAGCGACCGGGCGGGGAGAGAGCCCCCGGGGACTAGCGTGGGACCCGTCGATTCCGAACCAGGGACAGACATCAGCATGCGGACTATATCAGAAGGCACCGCTCTTTTCCTGAGCTCCCTTTCGCTTTCGAGCTTCCTCTCCGCTCGCTCGCTCGCCCGCTCGCTCGAGTCATTTTGGAGATTATCATTATCGCCGCATGCTTGATAAGACGGGCCATCTACTGAGACAGAACACGACGAGAGAGACAGACCCACCGGGAAAGCTACTTCCTGTCACACAATACATATAATACTAGCTAGTGGCTTGTCCCAGTCGGCTTTATCCTTCTAATACCCGTGCTCCATTATCCTCCTACCGAGCGAGCGAGCGAGCAACCGAGTGACTGGCCGACCGACTGCACGACCGAGATCCGGGTAATGCTCGCGGAAGCCTTAGCTCTCGAGTATTGAAGTTTGAAATACAGCATGGATGCCGCAGCGGCCGAGATCTGAATGAGCGAGCGGCAACATCGAGGAGAAAAACCTCGATCGGGTGAAACAATGAAACAATAAAGCCCAAGTCCGCCAAATCTACCAAAAACACGGGGAAAAAATGAGAGGCGATCTGAAGACAGAAGAAGAGAAATAGGCGTCCCTCGACGTACAACAAAAGTGTTCGGCAATCGAGGTAACGACGGTGGACGCGATGAAAGTTCGTCGCCCATGCTTGTGATGAAAGACCCCTGTATGGAGGAATGCGTCAAGCTTCATCGGCCGTTTAATCTCAAGAGCTTCCATCCATCTAGCCTCTACGATCATGTGCACGTTGTTGTCGGTCGGCGGAGAGTCCGACCGACCGACTGACTAGATCGCTCGCTCCTTACCTTCCCTCCCTCGCATTATTGTTGGACCACGCCAACACATCTGCTCTCATCCGTGAGAGAATCTCAGGTGTGGGTCCTGTTTGAGAATGTTTCGATGACTACAGAGATATAGCCGGTCGGTTGGGCATTCGGGTCCGCTAGCCCATTCGCCGCTGCAGATGACAGCAACAGCTGCTCCAGAGGCAACGCCTCCGCATTTCTAAAGAAATTCTTTAGCATCAAATCTCTTCTTAGCGAATAAAGGAATGCCCGGGCTCAGGCGCGAGAATCATCAGGAGGAGACCCCTGAACGCTCGATGAGCTACGGGATTCCTTGCCGAACTTCTGACTGAGAGGGAAGCGGAATCATTTCAAGCAATTATGCCTACTTACGGATTGCGAGCGAACTGCTATGTATTCCCAGTGCGGGGAAACTCTTTATTCACAATCGCGAACAGAAGTAAACATTTCTGTTCTGATCGCTGTTTCTTGTCTCGTTCTAGGTGACCGTGATCGAGGAAGCTATCAAATACATTGACCACCTGCACGAGGCCCTGCGGAATAAGTTTACTGAACGTGGTTTGCCCCCGTCTCTGCAAGGTACGTCGACGAGCAAGCTTTTCGGTTCATTGCTGATCGACTCATTCGGTTCGAGCTTCAATTCTGACTTCACGAAATCGTGACTCGAGCCGAGCCGGATCCCTTTTGCCTAGCTCTCGTAATGGCCGCTGTTAGCAGGTGGCTGTTTTTCTTTCTCCTTGTCGCTCTTGTACTTCTGTTCATCTTCTTCATGCGGAGACGGAGCTCCCGTCTCTGTCGGCAGTGGATCCGCTTGTGGTGACTGACGTGAGTTCTTTTTTCTGATACCCGCAGGAATGCCGATTGACCTCGAGACAACTGACATGCGTGATGTGGTCAGACTTCTAGCGAACAACACCGAAATCCGATCGACCGGACGACCTCTGTCTCTGCCTCCTCCGGCGGATTCAATCCCGCATCCCTGTGAGCGTCAACGGAACGTGCCCTCTTACCTCCTGAAGGCGAAATCACTGAGGAAGCAAGATAGATAAATAAACCAATCTAGCTCCAAGTGCAATACATTCCATAAATGTACATACATATACTGAGATAATGGCATGAGATAAAAGACCCAAAAACACGCAATCCTAGTTTGTGAAATCGTGCTTTCACTAGGGAACACGTAAACCAATTTTAAGGAATAAATATTGATCAATTCAATTTTGAGCTGGGAAGGATTGCATCTCTGATTTCCCCAGGATATATCGAGCCTGCTTAGCACCCATGTACGTGTCATGGTGCATCGATCAGGTCGAGGAGCCTCCACACTAGAAGCCTGGACCAGAGGTGATCTCATTTCACAGATCACATCAAGTCAGGGATGTAATCGAAAACCGGACTTGATCTACGTATACGGAGACTCCCGAGCCCTTCCTGGTTTGAGACTGGAGAATCCCTGATCATTTGATACAAGCTCCCGGGAGAGCTCGGAGAAAAGTCTGGAGACATCCATATGGGGGGTGGAGCCGGCCTAAACAATCAGAAACGACAGTCAGTCACTCCGGACATCACGTCATTACCCGCCCTAGGTCTCTCAGAGGGGAGGAAGCAAATGAAGTGGGGGATCGCTCTCCGAGACCTCAGGCCCCAAGAGAGATTGAAGTCGTCCTGAAAAAGGGTTCCCATTGGATCCCTTGGCCGGAACCGTTTTCGTCCTCGTTAGAGGATCGGAGACAACCCGTGTCGAGATTATTTTCCGACCGTCCACTCTCTTCCTTACTGAAGAGCGATGAAATAAGTATGTACCCCAAACAGCGACCTGCCTCTATAGGGGAGAATAGGAATGGATGCAAGAATGCATCATCAAGACTCCGACCCTTGATTTCAAGCCATTGCGATCCACGACCGTGATCTCCGGTGGTTGACTCGCAAGAGGATTCATCATGGCCACGAGATCGAGGCAGCGATCGGCTTCGGACCATTATCATTCAAAACGCTTCACCCGGGAGCACCTTTGAACAGCCCCGTCTGAGCCGCGGCGCTCCGTAGAAGACGGTCTCGCTGCGAACTCCTATGCGGGAATCCTTCCGGAACCGGTTCAGACATAATCTCGGAGTGATCAAGTCGAATCCGCTTTGTGAGAAGCCGAGATCGTAACTAGGTCGTCTCTTCCCTCAACGTGCACGTTTTGAACGCGGAGTCTGAGGCGAACCATGTGTCAGTGATGCCAGCGCGCTCTCCTTCGTTGCGGAGAACTCGGTCCACTGACCCTCACATTCATATCGCGAGAATTTCGTGATACCCTTCCGCGATCTTCATGCAGAGAAACATGAATGAGTTCCGATGTGGAGAATTCCAAGACTCTATGTGTTGAGAATGCCCGCTTCGCGCCTGGCGGAATGAACTTCCCCTTGGCCTGGAATTCGTGTTCTCCGCGGTTGCATGGACAGACAGTGCGTACCTAGTAGTTTTTCAGGGGACACTTCACTCTAGGATGCTCCAAGATCATTAACCTTTGGCAAGTCGCCGGGCGGAGATGGAGATTTGATAGGGATTCCAACCCGGAAAAGTCAAAGGCCACCTGGGCAACAACGGCATGAAGATCTGATGAAGTGAACGCGTGGGGTGTCCCTAGATGGATCTCAGGGCCGCAACTGGCGGCAAAAATTCACCCCGCTTTCCCTCCTTAAAAATTGCGATCGCTGACCGACATCCGAATCTGGAAAATTCAGGATCGCTCCAACGATTCGAGTTGTCAGGAGCCGCGAAATAGAGGCATTGGATATTCCATCGCCCTCCCCCCAAAGAAGTGCGGAATAGTTCACCCTGCTGGTCGATGGGCGACCAGCCTCGATGTCCTCGGGATCAGACTTCAGAGCAGCATGAGGATATCTAATTCGAAGCAGAATTTATTGCACGATATTACATTGATTAGATGCAGCGAGAAGGCTCCTCGGGATCGAACCTCTCGAGAGGTCGTATTCTCGAATCGACTGAAAAGGCGCGATGGCCGCTGATTCTGGTCAGAAAACGCCTCGGAGCTCATGCTGTCGAATTCTTTGTACACTATACAATTGGGGACTTTTGACTCATTTCGGTATTGGGATGTCGGCGTTGATATTCGTCAAGGTTTCGCATGGATCGCAAGAACAGTCCGACGGGACCAGCATATGCCGTCTGAATGTGGATCCAGAGGGACACTCGATCACCACTTCGACCTTATTAGGTTTTCCGACCGGGATGCAACAATTACACTGGCGATCGATTGTCGAGTTCCCTGCAGGAAGAAAATCTTCGGTCATCGAGCTAGAACGGTGAGGTATGATGAAATCGCTGTGAGCTCCACGCTTGACTCATAGTCATTAAATAATTCGGGATTCCAACTGACCTGGGGTGTACATGGACGTAGATTCACAGCCCCCCCGACACTCTGCCACTCCCTCGACTGTATCTGGATTGAAGCATCGTTCGTTGTTTATTTGTAGCCTGAAGTAGCGTCTCGTACCGTGGGTCGGCAGCATTTTCAGTCGGCAAGCTGGAGAGCAATGATTTTCTGTTAAAGCGAGGAGATTTCCCAAAGACGAAAATCGAGTTGGAATCAGTAGAGATGCCTGGAATGATCTCTACTCGAGTTCAGAGCTGTCACCTCTGATCATGATTTGAGAAACTCGACCATTTGACCAAGCGAGGAAACGTTCCCTCACAATCTTGAAAAGAGCAAGAAAAATCAGCAAAGCGGTTACTCACATTCCACGTAATCCACTGCACACAACAAGCACGCCAGGCTGCAGGAAGAAAACATGGCATGAGCACTGAGAGCTAATCGCAATCTAAATTTTCGATTCGCTTCATCCATAATCTACTCTCGCCGACTCACCCCATCAGAGCGAAAACATGAAGTCGGATCATGTTCTCTTCCGTTTCGATGGATTCTTCGGAACAATATGCAGCTCAGAGTTCACACAAAATTTCTCCCAAGCAAAGACTGCGAACGTGTGCCTGACGGATGATACCGTCTTCGAGTCTGGTCACGACTCACGACAAGAAGCGAGCGTCTCCTCTATGCCAAGCACTATAAGATGTGTTCTCTCCCTCGTTCCGCGATGAGAGTACTTAGCCGTCCAACATTGCTTTGAAGAAATCATATCATGGTGTAGACTCTAGGCCACAAGGTAGTATTCAAGATGGCGGCTGACGGACTTCTTGGAGGGAGAGTAGACATGAAGGCGAGCGTAATATGAGAGGGTATCACGGTCTCAGACGGATAGAGAGCATATCTTCGAGTTCGCTCTTTCTTTCTTCACTCGAGTCCAGATAGAGGATGAGAGCCATCCACAGAGAGGAGGCCCGAGCGAGAACCGTAAGAGCAAGGGGTCGAGGTTTTCATCTCGCGCATTCTTCTAAAGCGGTAATCCCCTCACGAGAATCTTCGAGTCGGCGGGGTGGTCGAGCCGAGGATGCCTCGCGCATCATTGAAGTCTCTCGACCGGAGTCCGGGTGTTCGCGGTCGTGGGGTCGGGCGAATTCGAATTTCCAGATATCTCGGCTTCGGGATGAACCGAGGTAATCGTCTGACGATGATTTATCGGATCCTCCAGGCCATCGCGGGTATTTGGGCGGATGTGCCGACGCCGACGGCTCGGAGGCGGCGACCCCTGAGGGGACGGCCTAAATCACCCCAATATTGAATCTGTACTCTAAAAAGACGCAGAATATGCGAAACTCTCGGAGCTCAAGCGAGAATTCGATCACCTTATAATTTGAGGAATTTACGCTCGTCTAGCAGTGTTTTAGGGGTGGAATCTCCTGATTCTAGACACACTCGGGTTCGGGTCGAGTTTTTTTTCTGCAACTCTGAGATCTGAATTGTAGGGGTCGCTGTCGGTGAGAGCGGGCTCTCCCGAGTGTTCGGGGAATGAAATCCTGATCTCAGCCCGACCGAATACCAAGAGATAAATGGTGTTCACCGAGAGCTATGTTTCTCAGCTGATGACAGTCAATGGATATTATTCGATTCTTCTCTTCCCCATCTTCCCAGGCTGCCTGCTTCTGAAGACAACTCAATCAAGACAACTCAATACTGACAACTCAGAAGCTCGATTGTTCCGTGGTCTTCCTCAAAGGAGGATTTGTCAGCAGTCCTCACCGGAACCTCATCTTTGATGAAGGATATATTTAAGATATCAGTGATAAGGACCATCCCTCATCTATCAGCCCCTCATTCATCCCCGCTTGGGAGCTAGATTCCGCATCCATTTTCTGACGAACGTGCCGATTGCATTCTACTCGCTCTTCCCGGGAAGCCTCATGTGCGGACTCGACTACACAGTCTTGAAGTCTACCTTCAAGGGACTTTGACATGGAAGACTTCTGGTAATAGGCGAAATAGTTCAATACCACATAAGCTTGAGCATGACCCCCGAGACGCTTCTGATCGGAGAGATCATGTCGCAAGAGTGCGCCGCCGACTATCAATTATCACGACCCCCTGTAATCGACGATAATAATAACAATAACAATCCTCTATGCGCCAGTCGATCCTGCTTGGTATGGTGAATCCCATTGGGGGTGTCTATGACTCCGGGTCCCACCGAAAATTTTTCGGTCCCTCGTGATGAAGCCTACACCCTATCTTTGGGAATGTTGCATTCACAACAGTTTTTGAAAAAAGTCAGTCTAGTACTCATTTTCCATGTGGAAATTCCCCCCTATGTAAGGGCAACTGAAGATTGAGGCAATGCCACGGAAGAGCTGGTGGATTCCACTTGAGCGGTATCGGCTCCGATACCGCCCGATTGCTCATAAATGGAGATCATGCATTCTACAGGCTCGATGCCGTCCCAGCACTGGGTATGCTGTGTTTCAATCCGATATTCCGCTCGATAAACATGAGAAATCAAAGATTCAACAGCTCAGAATCCTACAGCCTTCCTTGCAGAACACCCGTTCCGCGATTTTTGCGACCTGTCCCTTGGAACATTTTTCCGGAAATATGAGGAGGAATGCTGTCCGCTCCGAGTTGATTTACGACGTCCGCCGACGGTAGGGACCACGCTACAGATTCCTCATCGTCATTGACCATAAGACGGGATTGCCTACTTTGAGATGTCTCTCCCTTTTTGAATTAGTCACCTATCCATAGCTCTGACCTCTGACCGAGTGTGATGCCGTGAAGGGCGAGCTCCTCAATGCCGACCTTAGTCCTCACAGTCTCGCACCACAGGCCACGTTCCCCGTGTTCTGGCAAATCCCATGGACCTCATGATCCTCAGAGAGCCCCCGAGAGTCTCCGTAAAAAAATGAAGATCGTGTTGGGAATCGCTCAGCTCGTGGCGCAACGTCCCGAGGACCCATGAGCTTGCAGAATCCCTCTGTGTAGATCATCTGGGAGTCCATCGAACGGGATGAGTAGGTACACGTTTCTCCGTCGCGAGATTCTTGCGGTGAATAACACGCTCACAAGTCAAGGCCAATCGCCTCTTGGAACTCTGGGATGCCTCGAGGTTGTTTCTCCGGGAGGCTCGGGGAACTCTGATACGTATTTCGTCTATTCGATTGATATCTGGGACAGTTACCCCCTTGCAAAGATCTCAGCTCGCAAAATCACCGCGAATGTCCTTTTCAGACTTGCATTTCTCGTGCAGCGGTCATCTTCCGTGTGCTGCCGAGGTATATATTTGACTGAGGAAGAATCATGTACCGGAGAGCTGGACGTTGAAGCCAAATCAACGAGTTCAGAGTCGACAGCCCTGTCACCAGAGCCCGTGACTTCTACTCTTTGTCGGACGTCCGCGCGCACGGATTCCTCTTGCCGATGAGATTCTTGGATCTCGAGAACTTCCAGAAGCCACTCGGGCTACCAGGGACCCCGAGCATTCCCTCGAAACCATGTTCGCATTTATCAAAAAGGCTGAGGATCTTCATCTGCAGCTTGAAGGAAATCAGGGATAGAGCTCTTCTCGGTTCGGAGCTTAGACCTGGATCTGTAGTCGCAGGTAGGTCTCCGAATAGCGGGTGCCCAACATATTTGCTCCGCAGGTTCGGAGACTCGAATCCGAAAGCTAATGTAAGTATTCGAACAATCTTACCACGGTCTCATCGCATCAGTGATCCGAGCCATTCGGCAAAACAGATTCGTCAACCGTCCCCAGGATATCCGAATCAGGGTGACCTGAGCGCTGATTTGGGCACTTCGGACTCTCAGCTGATGAACTGATAGCAAACCTAATAGCGGCCAGACAGAGAGACACCGATACAATTTGCTGTAGTCTTCAGAGCTCTGGTTCCAGCAGAGGCTCGAGCGTCTCTTGAGAACACCCGATCTGTGGCTTCAATCATTGCGGGAAACAATGTTTCTTGACGTATTCGGGTCCGTGTCATGGTTTACTATGCATCACTCTCTCCGTGTATAGCTACGACTCGGGAATACGCTCTGGAGATCGATCTCGAGTACTGAGCGACTTTCGGCTAATTGTTTGTCCCGGATCAAATCGTTTGAGCGAATCGTGTGCGGAATCAGGCGACGGCAGGGAATTCATTCCGATTTTCCACTACTCTGCGATCGTGAGCGGCGTTACTGGCTATTACTCAAAGAGTGTTGCTGAGGAGTTCCCAGGCGAATTTCTCCCTCGGTGCGAGAGACAGTCCAAGGATTTATTCCCCACATCCATTTGACTCATTCGTATGATTTCTCTTGTCCCTCCCATATGCACAAGATCCCCCTATTTCGGGGGGATACGTGTTGCGCTCACGGATCTTGACTCTCCCTATCCTTGAGGGTCGACTCCGTCTTCTGCCGTGTTCGCATGGCCCCTCGAAACCCTGGACAATGAGTCAATGCGTTCTGGCCTCACCACACCTTGGACAGCTGCACTGCCTGGGACATCCTCAGATGCCGAGTCGACTCCTGTCTTGCGGGTCGAGTCTTTCCGTTCCAGAAAAAATCTCTGAGCAGAAGTATCCACAGAGCGCTGTCTTCTGGCTCACGGAGAACTTCCTTCATCTTCCGATGCAGAACCACGTCCTTTTTTCAAAGACATGGGTGCATACGTGCATACCCGCCTGTCTTCCCGCAGAATCGTCGCCCTCTTCCAGGATTTCTCGAATTCCGAGTAATCGAGCCCAAATCGTGCAGAAGAAAAGAAGTTCGGAAACCGATTTCCCTTCGACGAACGTTCGCAAGTCCTCCCTGATGATGCTATCAGCCGGGAGGACCAATCTCCGGAGCTCACGGAGGTTGGTTGAGCTTCTCTGATGTCTAATTGTTTTCTACTGACACTCCCTCCTTATGGTCAAATGTATTTGCAAGAAGGAGAGACCAAACCGCGATTCATGAAAAGGAAACCCAGAGAACTGGCGCACTCAAGCAAGTCAGAAACCGTAGTTGAGCTAGGATCAGACCCTTGTGAGAACCTCCCGATTGAAAACTCATGGAAATCCTCCCGGGCAGCCCCTTGCCGAAGCCAGCCCTCGTTCGAACGGTGTCATTCTGCGGGGTGAAATGAAATGGGGACGGCATCTCCCGAGCTGGAGAGCTAGAATCATATCCGGAAGCTCGGGAACGAGAACCGCTCAGTCAGCCCGTCGCGCTTGCACAGCAACTTTCCATCAACTTGCAAGCTGTCACAGAGAATCTCGATGGTAGACATCGAGTCCGTACAAGAGCTGTAGATCAACGAGTCGACTTCCATCGGTCGGAGCAAGCCGTATCCTCAGGCTCAAGACGATGCGCAATGATCTTCTCCGCAACAAAAACTGTCGATCCTCATTGGGTCGGGGAAACCCTGTCGGGGGAAACCAGATGAGCAGCGGACTATAACCGGTATACTATTTCGGCTGGAATCCCGATGTCTCTCGGAATCGACCCTCCACTGGTACGTGAGGCTGTTCAAGCTGAATCGAGAAACTGATTCCAGTCTGCGGTAGGATCTGCAAGGGACTAAAGTCAGCGATTTCCGTGTGAGTGATTCTGGCAGGTCTGTTCACTATCGTGGATCTGCCGCCAGAGCCCCTCGAGCAGACGCTTTTACCCTCCTTCGACCGAGAGCGAAAGAGAGGCGCCGGCGCACACACGCCACTACAGATGAGATGTTGCAATCGCGGGGCTGGGGAGATCGAGCCTGACCGCGAAAACTGGAACTGCGACGAATATCTCAACTGTATCGCAGGCTCTCGTTTCAGGGACTTGCATTGTGCTCAATGGCGCGATATGCCCGTAGAGACTCTATTTGGCCGATTGTCATCTCATGAGGGTACAGACGAAGGTCTTATTGCACGATGGAAAAAGTCTAGGTCAATGACCTCCAAAAGCATTGTACGTTGAAGAAAGCCTTCCGACGGTCACGCAATGGCCGCACTCGTGCGGTGTTCCAATGAACAGCCAATGCGAGAACGAAATTCGTCTCGAGGTCTCCGAAGCCAATATTAGTGTTCAATCATAAATTCGTACGTCGCATTATCATTACGTCTGTGCAACATCGGCGGGAATTTCGTATCGAACCAGCTCGTTTCTGTTTCCGGGCTCGCGGTTCAGACTCGCTCGTCCGGAAGCTTTTCACTGCTTTCACCTTCGCCACTTCCCTCTCTCAGACTTCGCGAAAACCCCCATCCGCCCGTTTGACGTTGTCGAAAGCTCAAGATTGGCCCAGAAGTCTACCACCCCACCTTCCCCGCGCACTGGTTGCCCTTTCCACGGAACGTCGAATGCTCAGCGCGTCGGTGGCGATGCCGTCTTCTCTCTGGGAATTTTCGGAGATTCTCCACGCTCTCCCGAATTCTGGAAGTTGCAATTCCGCGTAACGGTTTTCTCCGTCTGGCAACCGTGACCGAGTGCAGCAAAGCGTTTCTGTTGTCTCGGTGCCATGCTCGATGGTTCGAAGTTTCTACGCGTTGTTCCAGTCCGACGCTAGTTGAACTAGGCGTGAGAAAGAGCGCTTGGCAAGGGCCCGGGAGAGGGCTCTTTTGCGGAGCGCTAGCCGAAGCCGGCTGTCAGTAGAAGCCTCCAGAGTATGTTGAACGGACGTAGAGGAGAGAGTGCCGATCAGGAGAACCGCAAGGAGTTCGTTTGAAGGAGGAGGGTTTCGGAGTTTGGCGCGTCCACCGCCGCCTGACCAACAATTCTCGGGCTCATCCACCGGTTTCGCCAACCGGGCTAGCTCCCCTTCCCCGCATCTTTGCTTCGAGAAAGTTATTCTGCAACAAGCATATTGTGTCAGCAGTGTCAGGAAAAGTGGATTCATCGTCAGACAACGACAACCAGCTCCAGAACATCAGAATTCTCCTCAAACAGATCAAGATAGTCAACGACGACGAAGATAGCAAACACTTCGAAGACTTGCTCAGAGCTATAAGCGGCAGCGGCTGTTCGGACGACGTGCGGTACCGGCTGCATGACGAGGCTGACTTGAGCAGCCAGCAACTTTCTGAGGGTGTCATGCCCAAGGAAATGGATTCACTCGAGTCCACAGAGTTGAATCGAGAGAATGTGGTGGACGATTTGGACGACACCGACTTGTCCGACGGTGAGTGGAATGCCGATGAGTTTTCTGACTTTTTTCTCTGCAACATCCGAAAGTTCTTCCAGATCTGCTGAGTTCTCACTGTATGTGAGGTTGTCTCGTCGGCCAGAGGTGCTGACAAACTTGTGTTCCGGCGAGCAGAGGATATTTTTTTCGTTGTCAACGACATCGTCGACGTTTCAAGCCCATGGCAACAACTGGATGTGTTCAAGTTTTCGAAAGTGTTGTCTGTGGTTGTCCTTGCGTTAATTGTGATTCTCCGATCCAATCAAGTGCCTTGGTGAAAGTGAAATTCGGTTCTTTTGCTGTAAGCACTAACGGAAGAGGAGGTTCTGTGGTCGGATTGAAAAAACGTGCGGTGTCTCTTCGACGGCTTCGGTGCTTTGTGGAGATCCGTGTCTGCTCCGAAATTTCGGTGCTCGAGCCCGTGGATAGGAGAAGGGGAACTGGAGAATTATTCTGAGTTACGACGATTTTTTTTGGAGTTTCCCAAATGATCTGGGTCAACCGGTCGAGGGTGGAGGAACTCAGGCTAGACTCAGTCTAGACGGTTGAGGTGTTTCGTGCGATCGCAGCGCCACGTTACCCCCCCTGAGCTTCTGTTTCCGGCTTCCGTAGCTTCCGGATGTTCTACGGAGCTACCATTCGCCGAACAGTCTCGGAAGCGTGATTTGAGGCTCAGGCCTTCAATCAGAGGTGGTTTCTGGTCGTTGCCCGGCGAGTCAGGCCAAATCGAGACTACGACGCCAGTCTTACGTCTCTGAGGCCGGGAAGTCGACAGGGCCGGATGTATATCGTGGATGTTGTGCGAGAAAGTGAATTGAGGTGAAAAATCCTCGGATAGCTTCGTGTCTGAAGTTCTGTTTCTGAACGGCATGTGCGAGATTAGGGTTAACAGAAGCGGTCCGGCGGCGACCATGTTTTGCCGATGTACTAGATTCCAGCAATGGCGTCTTGCCGGACAGGGAGCTGGGATTCCTGAATTTCGGAGGGATTCCGCGACGGCTCCCAAACTCGACTAGAGCCGTGCGCTTTTCCTTGAGCTCGTCACGGAGTTTCGCGAACGTGGATGTTTGAAGAACTCCAATAAAATGTACATCCCCGTTCGACGGTGTTCGGATGGAGGTACCGATGTCGATACCGAAAATGCGCCAACAAGTGCCCCCCGTTTTTTCGAGCGGTCTCCATTGCTCTCGATAAAATCGAGCGAGCCGCATACTTTCGCCTCGGCTGTACGCGCCGCGCATTCTGCGCGAAATTCGGAAATCGGCGGAACGACGTCATTGCGGAGTTCGTAGCCTCGCCGATGTGCAATCCCAGTTCTGCTACCCCATGATGACTTTATCGTCTCGGGGTTCTAGATTATCGAGTGAAGTGACTAGCTCCATCGGAAAGGCTTTCCATTTCGAAAAGTGCAAACTTATTCAGAATACAGAATCAAAATGGCGGTTAGTATGGAGGACGATGGTTAGGCTTAGTTCTAGTAGCCGTTGATTGTGAAACGACGACCGCCGATGAAGGGCGGGCTAGAACGAACGCATGCGCAGATGGAAATGCTGGCTAGTCCGCCGTTCTAGTCGGGTCATTCGGGGGTATGGGCAACGACTCACCACCCAATAGGGTTGAGGCACCGGCGACAGCGGAGACCTGACAAACTGTTGTTGCCTCCTAGCTCGCTGCCGCACCCTCCGACGACAACCAGAATCGGGTCAAGAGAGGAAAAAACAACCGGGAAATCTCAATTTCGGTGAGGTGAATCTGGAGACGACGTCTCCGAGTTCGCTGCCGACGTCAACAACAAGCACGCGCCCCTGCCCCGGACAAAAGCCATCGATTCCCTATCGCCGAATCGGAGATGCTCCGCTTTTAAGGCCGAGTGCAGGGCGAACGATATTCGTAGTAGTGGAAGTATCTCGCGTTCGTCGTTGTAGATTAGCATATTCCCATAGCGTTCTCCGCGGCGAGCATGCTCTTTGCTCGTGGAGTAGCTGGGATCAGTTTGGTCGGCAGGTTGGTCGGTCGGTCTATCTGGCCGTTTGGCCGCATGTAACTGGGTTATCGGCAAGAGCGTCAGCGTCATTTGAATACGAGCTAGCGCGCGTCCTGTCTTTGCTCGCACTCACAGCACTTTCGAACACGCCGCAATAAGCCATTCGATATTACCAACGAGCCGCCGCGCTATTCCGAGTTGACTCGTGATCCTGACCCGCGATCTCTCGACGGCGTCCCCGACGACTTCTCCGGGATACAGGATCTAGGATCGGGTTTCGAGCGCGACTCGAACCCTCCGATCAGTTCATGATGGTTCGGAACCTGCCGGCCCCTCTCTCGTGTTTCCCTCCGGTAGATCGTATACAGGAGAGGATCTGGCGCTACGAGCTCGAGTATACGATCTCGCTAAACGAATCGCTTCCGAGTCGATGTACTGCGTAGTGTACGCACGGCGTGGGAAACGATATCTGTGTATTCCGGAAGCAATACACTCGAAAGCGACGGAACACCCGCGCCGTATGGATACATCGTGTTGAGAAGTCAATTGTAGCATGCTGTCACGAATTTCGATGAGCTCCGTACTCGCGGCGCTACGTATGCGTTTCTCCCCCCCACGTCTCTCGGAGGCGAGAATCCGCTCCGAGCAGCATTCGAGGAATGAGCTCATGTCCACAGAGATGCAAAATTTTATGGCGTCCCAAAGCCCCTCTCCGAGCTCGCTGTGGGGACCGCGGGCAATCTAGCAGGCGATTCGCGATAGAGTCCTCGCTGCGTGCGCCGACCCGCGGAAATCTCGGTCTCATGATTCTGAAAGTTCTCACGGGGCTCTCGCTCTCGAGACGCAGTCTGGGGAGTCGGAACACCTATCGAAGAGGAAGTATTCATGCGTCAAACCTCGAGAGTAAAGAGGAACGAATTTTCGTCGGAAACGAGAACAAGCCGCATCATTTCAACGGGTTTACCTAAATTATCGCTCACGAGCTCAGTCGAAAAACTGAGCCGACGGTGGTCAGATACAGCGGCCCGCTTGAATACATTTTTTCTCCGTCCCTTCGAGATGGCCGATTTGGTCTCTTCATCGAGCTTTCCGCACTCTTCTGCGTCTACGATGAGTATTCATGATTGTTATCGATTGCATCTCGATTCGGCATGTCAGCAAATTATATTTTCGGCAACATAGGCCACCGTATTGGGACAGGGCGAGCGGGAAGCAAACTCGGTAGCTCGCCTGCTTCATTCATCGCCATCTGTCCGGGGCCACCCCCAAGCGTCCCCGTCCCCTGTCTAGACAGGGCCCGAAAAGTTCAACGACCGCGCTCCTTCGGCCACACCGACAGCCATCCAGCCCGCCTGGCTGCCTGTCTGCCTGCTTGCCGGCAAGCTTTTCTACCGAGCTAGGCTGCCAGTAGCAGCGGCCGCTTCCGCAGCAGAGCCCTCGGAAGCTTCAGAGCCTCGACGGACGTATCTCGAGCAGTTTCTTGGAGCTTTTCGGGATATTTTCCGAGAGAAGATTCCGAGCGGATCTCGCGCCGGATATTCCCGCATGAGCTCCTCGGGATCCAGGCGCGTATCGGCAAGTCGAATCCACGTGCTCGGTTCGCGCAAATTCTTCATTCGGGCGAGTTCGGAAGAGACAGAATCAATCAACAGAATCAATGGTTTCCGGGCTCCTCCGAGTTTTTCGCCGTTGGGGGATCGCCGTGCCGCATGTCGAACCCAGATACTGGGATTGACACCGTTTCTGTTGTAACGGCATCCAGAGTGGCAATGAACCGACGGGTAGACTGGTCTGGAAAGCGGACTCGTCTGCGACACGATGAGCCACCGAGAAACCCGGTCACTGATCGAGACAGTGAGCCAAGAAGCCAGTGTTTCGGTCCGTCGTTCCATGCCAGTCTGACGGTCGGTCGCATTCAATTCTGGTAGGGTCTTCCAGTCTGTCGGTTTTCGGTCAGACGAGTCGCCAGCCAGCCAGCCAGCCAGCCAGTCAGCGAGCTAGACTCCCGGCCAGACAAGGAAATTCGTCGGCAGTGTTTTGACTCGAGCTCCTGCAACTCGCCGGGTCATTGCCCTGTGTACGGCCTTCAGGAGACGACGAGGGAGCGGGCCGCTCAGAATTCGCCGTCGTCATCGGCCGCTTGGCCCGCTACCGTCGTCGAGTATATTTCTGTCGCTTGGGAGCTCCCTCGACCGAGAGCTATTGCTGCTTTTCTTTCCGGCGGGATAAACTGCGACATTCATCTTGTTGCTTCGGATGTCGCATATATATATTCTATTCGAGTATCGGTTACGCGATGGGAGGAAGGAGAGATCTAATCCGTCACAGAGATTCCACAGCGTTTCCCTCATCGGTTCTCGATTGAGTCATTCATTGATCTCGATGAAATATTCATGATTCGAGATTCTCCATCCGATATCGATCTGGTCAAGCGCGCCCGCAGCGAATCCGTCGGATGAAACCTATTCTAGCTCCGGAAAGTTTAGGGAGCGCGGCACTCTGACCATGCCGTTCCCTGGAACAACGGAACCCCTCCTGGAATACTCATGAATGTCTCAATTGGGAACGATCGACCCGGAAACTGCACCGCTGGAATTCGACGCCTCCCAGGAGCAATCCGCTCTCGGTTTGACGATTTGTGGAGCTTGTAGCGTTCTCCGAGCTTGCCGAGTTGTCGTCCTGGTCGTCGGTAATGCGAGCCGGTAGTGAATTCCAAAGGCATAAATGAAGGTCGTTGAACTCGGAATCGAATTCGGCAGACGAAACTGTCCATTGTCAGGTCCCAATGATTCCTCGTCGAGGTCGGCGCGTCGAGAGGACCGATCGCTTACCCTATGCGAAAAAGGAAAGTAAAGCGTTCGGCGACTGTTTTATTTCTGCGAAAGAGAGAGTCCGCTTTTCTCATTGATCTCTTACTGTCTCAGGTGTTGTCGTTTCGGCCGAAGTTTATGCATTGGGCCACGGCAGCAGCTTATAGTCTATCATCCAGTTCCCGAACCCTCCAACCCGTTCGTTCGTTCGTTCGTCCGACCGCCCGACCAACCGTCAGCCCGCCTGCCAGCCCGCTAGCCCGGCAGTCAGTCAGTCAGGGTCGATGACCGTCTGGGTCTGGCGGCGGCGGCCGCGGTGGCGGTCGTGTTGTGTCTGAACGTCAGAGACCAGACATGTCTGCTGACCCAATGACGACTCAGAACTGTTGCAGGCAGTTCATTCACCACCCGGAACGGTTTTCGCCGTCGTCGTCGTCACCGACTAGTCCGGTCGTTGCCACCACCTGAAGCGAGCTCCGTTCGAGACGGCTGTTTGCAAATCGTCGAATCAATTGCCGCCGGATCGCCAGTCAGTCAGTCTTTGAGTCAGTCAGTCAGTAAGTCAGACAGACGGACGGAGAGCAATCCGGCGCGGTCCGACATTCGCAGTCGCGATTTTTCCAGAAGCCGAGCGATCCGTGTTCCGGGAGCTCGTTCCGTTCGACGACCGAGCCGCTCTCGCAGAGATACATGATAGCTTCGTTGCGACCGAAGCTCAAGATGCTCGAGTGATCTCGCAGCGGAATCGCTCATCCCGAATCCGGAGCTGAGCTCCCCGCTGTGCCTGCGGATCCCGAGAATGGGCAACAGGAAAGCTCCATCTGATCGCGAAGTTCCCCTTCGAGGTCAGATAGAGGAGAGACGCGGAGCAACTAGTGTCCCAACACCATGAGATGGATCCGCGCATACCTCTGCGGATTTCTCTCCCTCCCACCTGATCCTTGGGGAGAGAATCAGTTCCTCTCCGATGATTGCACCGGGACCGATTAAAATCGCAAGATCTCCGAGGAGCCAGAGTGATTTCTTGGGAAAATGATTCTGATAATGCTACGGGAGGCGACGGCCACGGTCAGGGTTCCAGCGCAGAAGAAAAGAAGGAAAAGATGAAAAAGCCCATGATCCTTTTCGCTTCCAGGTTGAGCAGCGGTTACCGCGTCTGGGAAGGGGGAGCCGTCTGGCAGGAGAACGAGGGAGCCTGGGGGAGACATCGATCGCTAGTCAGACGGTGAACGGCCTTGAACCCGGCGTCGGAGACGGTGGCACGCACTGCGCTATTTCCCCTGCCGTCGAGGAGGCTTTTGTGGCGGTGCTGCTGCCGGCCGCCGCTCCCCAGACCGTTATGCTCGCTCACAGACTGAGTCAGACGCAAACAGAGCGGCCGACTGACTGAGATTAGCGACTGGAAGCATAAGTCGGTCATTGCTCCGCGGTCTCAGACGGATGCTGGCGAACTAGGCGGCACGTCGGTAGACGAGTCGGACTTCGAAGCCCCCAGACAGTTTGCTATACGGAGACCGACACTCGCTTCACGCTCTCGCGGTCCTCGGGGCGAGCAGAGACTCGAGTTCGTTGAACCCGTCTCGTGGGAAAGGGCTCTCGGAGAGAACCGCTCGTGCACGTTGCTCAGACTCTAAGCACCAGACGTTTCAGAGTCTGGAATTTCATACAAGATTGAAAAAGATACATACGCGTCCGTCTGAGCACATATCTCATTGATATGCTCCAGGCCGGAAGACGCTCCGGGAGCTTACGACACGTTTGCGTCAATATCTGTCGCCGTCTTCTTAGCACAAGCTCCGGAACTCTCGGTTGAAAGATGGATTCGTGCATCTCGCGATACGATGAAAGATGAACTGGCCTCTGCTATTCGAGCGTGACGGGGAATTTCGAACGAATTCCAGCATCCGCTGTATCGTTTGCACCGGAGAGAGTTTGGAAAAATGTTTCTGCTTCACATGGCTCTATCCGCCCTCGGGTTTGCTGACCTTGTGCTCTCCCGTCCTGGGCTGGTGCCATCTCCCACAAACTCGGACCTCGTTCCGCGTCGATGTATTGGGTCCGAATTTCCTGAGAGTGGCGGAGGGAGATAAATCATCGCAGGTCGAAACGAGAAATATTTCACAACACTGTCAAGTCATAAGATACGTATCGGCGATCCCCCCCTGGCAGCCAAGTCGTCGAAGTGATAATTCTCTTGATTGTCGCTCCCGTTTTCCGCAGAGGAGCGGGAGATCTCACGGGGTGATATTGTGATGCCTGATGACCTTGACTATAGCCGATTCCGTCTACCTCCGCTCATGGAGGGCAGAAAACGTTTCCGCATCCTCCCGGAATTTATCTCGAAGGGTTGACCGTGAGCTCCGAGTAGCGACCTCCTCCCATCCGCGACTGTCGTCGTGTATCACACCTCGCTTGGCAAGAACTCGGTCTCCGGTCGTCGTCTTAATAAAGAAGCCGGAGCTCATCTGAGCTCTGGTGTTGATACAAGTTCGTGGAAGGCCGGCGACAGGGCTGCGTACGGTGGCGAGTGACAGCGGACCAAGTCGCAAATCCCTCCCTGAAATCTCGAATTTAATTCCATCACGGCTCGACTCAAGGAGACATCCCGTGACCTACGGAGCCCTCTTAATGAGTCCAACACCTCACAGAAGAGTCTCTCGGCGGAGGGTGGCTGAATTCCTCCGCTGAGCACTGACCTTGAATTCCATCAGTCCTCACTCTCGAACCTACCCACTCGGAACTAGCCCAATTGACCCATAACTCTTGAGTACCGTCACCAATATCAATTTCCACGTTCTCGGACCCCGAGCCTCAAGCCTTCTCGAAGGTATTATATTGAGTCTCGATTGTCTTGAGATCCTTTTCTGTCTCCTGTTCGAGTGGTCACGGTGGTCCTTTTCGCTCCAGAGGGCTTTCAGTGGGGAAAGGCCCCGTAAGCCAAAATGCGACAGAAGATCACGCTGTGCGTCGAATACGTCGGTTAGAATGCGGCATGTCCGCTCGGCATAGGATTATTACGATCTGGAAAAAATGTTTCGTTTCCTTTGCAGATGGGGCCACGGACGGCGGAGGTGGAGGAGCAGAGAAGGAACTTGCGACGAAGATGCTACAGATCCAGAGCAAGAGGTTCTATCTCGACGTCAAACAGAACCGGAGAGGTCGTTTCATCAAGGTCAGTGTTCTCATGTGGAAAGTAGACTTCACCCTGGAGTGCGTGGAACACAGTTCGATTTCCTTGGCAGCGAGCTGTGACAGCTCGTCCGTGTTAGCGCTCGTCCTGTAATCACAACCCTATCGACACGAGCCGTATTCGATTCCGAATTCACTCCGGTTCTCGATGGGAATCTCAGGGAATCGCGACTGTCCCTTCGAGCTCTCCCCGGCGAGCCTCGGCTCCACCACTTGTAGAGTCTGCTCGATAAATTTTGCGAAAATAGCTCTCTGCAATCGGGGCACCGAAGAAGCTCTTACCTCCGCGATTCAATCTTGCTGGGACAAACTCAGGGCGAGCAAACCGAAACACTTTCATTCTGTCTCTTACAGGTGGCCGAAGTAGGCGTGGCGGGCCGTAAGTCACGCCTTCTGCTGGCCATGTCGACGGCTGCGGAATTCCGCGATCATCTCACCCACTTCTCTGAACTCTACGCAAAGCTCGGGCCCCCGCATCCTCACAATGCCCCCGAAGACGGCAAACTGAAGAGCGAGGTCATCATAAAAGACAATCGGAGATATTATCTTGATCTCAAGGAGAACTCCCGCGGTCGTTTCCTTCGTGTGTCGCAGACTATCGGTATCTGGCCATGCCTTCTGACTATTACTCGCTGATGTTATCGTATTGCATTGATTGATATCGGGATCTCCACCTCCGAGCTCCTTTGGATATCCTGATAGATAGGATCCTTTTCCGAATTTCAGCAACAATGGCCATGCGGACGGGACCACGAACTCAGATCGCGATACCGGCCCAAGGCCTGATCGAGTTCCGAGACTGTCTGACCGATCTCCTCATCGAGTACGGCACAGACGACGGCGGCTTCAAAGGCGAGCTTCCCGAAGGGCGTCACATGCGTATCGAAGACAAAATTTTTTACTTCGACATCGGCCAGAACAGCCGCGGCATCTACATGAGGGTATCCGAGGTGAGTTTAGCAACTCGAGGAAGATGTCCGATGCACCCTCGTCGATGCTCCAGAGATCGTAGGTCGGGACTGGCAGGAAATTGACTCGACTTCCCACTTCCATGACAGGTGAAGAATAATTTCCGAGCAGCGATTACACTTCCCGAAAAGTCATGGCCGAAATTCCGCGACATGTTCGGCGAATTCGTGACGAAAATGGATGCTGCCAGAGGACTTTCTTCGAACTCGACCGACACTCCAAACGCCGAGAATTCCGATTCCACTGCCCAAGCGCTCGGTCCAGTCGGCGAGGGGATCCTCATGGGAGCTGAAGCTCTCTCGATGGGTGCTGTTGGGGGGCTGGGGGCGAGCAGCTTCCCTTCGGCCAAATCCGGCCTCGGATCATCATCCGCGCTGAACGAGTAGATTCTCTAATCAATTTGTATATTTGTTTTCGATCCACAAATTACTTGAGGACAAACAAACAAGCAAACTTAATAAGCAAGCGAGGAGGCCGAAAGCAAACACACGGGAGAGCTGGAATTGAAGGACTCACGAATGAGATGAAACGAAAATATGAAGAAACAAAGTCTCAATGCCAGGTAGTTTAGACTCAACAACAACTAAGGTTCGAAAGCCAGAGGGCAAGAAGCGCGCGCCTTGATTGTTTTCACGTTCAGGGGTCAAGCTCCGTATAGGTTACAAGGAACGGCTGTTTCTGAGACGCTGGGCCTTACTTTCGCAAGAACGCGACGAGGAGTTGCTTGAACGTTGGCTGGAGACCGCCGCGCACTCTTTTTCCCGCTGTCGAAATTTACTCGAGATGTATTCGGTACTAGGAACAGCGGGAAGTGTGAGGATGTGGGGGTTTCTCGGCCTCGACCGGAGATACAATAGATGGTGCTGTAGAAATGCACGTCAGACCCGCGAGGAATCGATTCGGCGGAGAAACGGAGACGGATGCGGCTCAGGCGGAGGAATATCGGGGGGAGCGGGATGGGAGGCTTTATCTGAACGTTCCGGTAGGCTTGTTCGGATCGGACCGGATGGAGGAGATTTCGGTTCGGTTGACTGTCGAAGGAGTCCAGATGCCACACGAAGACAACTACTGCCCTATCCCTTCATTACAGGGAAGTTTCTGTATACACGCGTACACATAACTTGTATCTGTCTATTTTGCTGTCTTTTGAATTACTTGATTCATCTCGTCGGGGATAGCGAATGCCGATGCTAACGAGGACAGCAGCGCTTTAGCGAACCTGATAAGGGAACGAAATGTTAATACGACGGGGAGAATAAGGAGGATCGATATGATCGTTTGTCAACATGACAGGGAAATTCTCGGAACATTCACACACATCAGATGCTCACGGATCTCGAACCTCCGTTTTCGGGGGGAAGTTTCCTCGTCAGTTTCTCCGAAAACTACTGCTACGGATGGACGGAGAAGTCACCTGATATCATGAGCGAGAGAGACTCACGCTACGGGGTCTCATTAGCGTTGAGATCACAGAGGGATATTCCACTTCCGTGGGTCTCGATCTTAGTTCTTCCTCTCCGTTATCGACTACGGATTTTAAGATGATCATTATCAATGTATTTTTTAGTGATAGACAGGTAATCAAGGAATTATTGTTCGAGTTAAGAGTGACTCCAAGTGGCCTTTTGTTACAGTGGCGACGACGATCGATCCGATACACATAAGCGTTGATCGCCGTTCCTGGTGCTACTCCTTATACCCTTGTATGGACTGCTCTAAGTCTACGTACTCCTGATTTCATCTCGATTCCAGATCCTCCTCGATCCGACAATATGCTGACTGAGAGACTGAGTGGGCCTCCCTGACTTAACGTGTAGAACGCGCTCATTGCCTGAAACTTACCTTTGTCTCCCCATAACTTCTGATTTCTCCGATATATTCATGATCACACCCTTCGATTCCCCTGATGACGACATCTGTCGAGTTACGCAGAGTGGGTTCCGGGGGCTTCGCACTGTTCAACGACTACATTCAAACCCACCGTGAAAAAAACGAAACCGCTGAAGAAGGTGCTGATTATGGAAGACTTCCTGAAGTAGAAAAACTTCATTTGTGATATGGCGCTTCTTCGAGAGTTGAGAGAAAGTCCTCAAAAGTTCACAAGAGCTTTCAGTTTCAGAGATGCTCTTCTTTGCCAGACTTCTTCCGAAAAAATCTGACAACGTCTGGAGGCACTGTCGCGTCATGAAACTCCGAGGGATGATTCAGGAGGGTAATTTTCTATTTCCGGCGTTGTTGGATTCGAATCGGAGGAGAGATTTCAAGAAAGTCTCAAACCACTCCATTGTCCCGTCCTCTCCTTCGTAGATGTTATTTTTAATCGAGCATCTGTGGAAACACCCTGACACATAAAGGAGGAATCGACAGATAGAACTCGAACTTACAAATTGAATGCATAGGGAGCTGTGGAAGCGAGAAACAGAACGCGTCGGCCGCGACACTGTATTGGAATTGGTAATTGAGAGTGGAAAACGGATCAGATCTCCAAATTTTCGGCTTGCTGCGCGAGGGCATTAGAACCGTCTCCCAAAGGTGTATGGTTTCGCGGTCGATGTGATATAATTAGCTAGGTTTTCAGTTTTATACAAGTTATCATGTCGTCCTTGAGCTCGAATCAACAAAGTGTTCATGGAGAAAATAATCCAGTGATCATCGCGAAAGGATTGAGATTCCGCAAAGGAAGGAGAAATTATTGTAATATTCAATCACTTCAGATTGAGGGCACACTCCCTGCGAGAAGGATAACTTACCGAAAGGAAAGGAAATGCATCGTAGTTAGAGGAACGATGATACGTAATCGAAAGTGGAACGTTCATCACTTAAGCGCAGAGTTGAATTATTCCCGCAACGCATTGTGAAAGGCCTCAGGAAACGATGTGTAGTAGCCGAAACCGACAGACTTTCGGGGAAAAATGTATCGTGTACTCAATTATCCTCTAGTTAGTTGTTCTTCCGCGAGAAATGGTGCGAAAGGAAGAAATCAAACAAAATAAATTGTTACTCCTGTACAGCGAGATGAGGAATAAAGCGACGAATCGTATGGCCAAAACTGAGAAACTCCCACCTCCTTCTTTTCCTTCTCGAAAGGGCAGCACTTCGGGCCTCACACGCGTCACCTAGGGGTTTTCTGATATCAATTCGGTGGAATACCAATCATCCAGATATCCTCGGCGCAATCCGCCTACGACTTGAGATTTTCGCGCAGCTTGATATCTCTTCCGGAACAGCCCGAAAACGTCTGGGAAGTGATTAGCTGGATGGGGAAGGCCAGACGGTGGAGTCCCGTTGAGGGACGTTTCGTCCACGGAGTTTGGTCGGCCGCTACAGGAAGTATGCTTCCATACAGAAATACTCCCACATCCCATGTGAGGGCGGAGCTCGAATTCAAAATTGCGCGCCCCGACTCGCTCTTCTCCCCCAGGGCGCAGATTCGCTACTCCCTCTTACTGCTTTGTTATGCTTGTTTATGTTTCAAACCCGCGCTTAGGAGAAAACGCCAAGAACTCAGATTTCTTCTCACACGATAATCATCTGTTGACGATTCAGCTGTTCGTGTCGTCATAAGGCTCCGTAGCGGGACGGTGTTGATCGTAGCCTGCCTCGGAATTCCCGCTCCGTGTTTCCCACCATGGTGTGAGTTTCCGAGAAAATTAGAAATTTTTCGGAGATTGCCGGAATCAAACCGCGCACCCAGCGATTCTAAAGACCCACATTCCGAGCAAGTTCCATTAAGACAATTCGACGATAAGAATGCCGAATAATCTCTGAGTGCTAGCAATGATGAATATGAGAAATATACTAAGCAAAACTTCTTGCACCAGAGGAGCTACCGTCGGCCCGTTCGTTCCCGCCGGTTCTCGACATTCTCACCACGTAAGTTGCATGTAATCGATCCCGCGCGGGAAATCGACAGGAAGATATCTGGGGAAGCATCGCGTATTGAAATAGCGAAGGCACAGAGGTCGCTGGCGATTGAAAAGTTTTGACTCGGAATCTTATCCATCTGAATTTCATTGTACAACGAGCTCACCCCGTGTTCTGTCCCGAAACAGGCGAACACAAAGATGCAATCCTCGAAGAAATCATCGACGAGTCATCCGGACGAAGATAGACGACGATCTCAGAAGGAATCCCTCCCTGTGAGTCCGCGGACATCGGGAGAGAACTCGTCCCGTGCGTCCCACGGTACGAGTCAAGGTGAGTTATGTCTGAAGCTGGTATATCCCAATCATCTCGAAAACCTCTATTGCCGCTCCGCCCCGGAGCTGTGGAGCATGCTGGTCGTTGATGCAAGCTGAAGGTGAATTTCGAGTCGTCGGAGAGCTCTGACGAATATCGACCCACAGGTTGCGTTTCCCGATTTCCGTCCGAAAGGACTGTTCTCCAAGAGCAACTGGAGAGATTTTACGGCGAGATCGGCCACCTATCCGAGAAAGTTTCTCGAGTCCAGAAAGAAGTGGAGGAAGCGTCCGTCAATCTCCGAATGCTCAGAGAACTACTCGCGAGGCTGGAATCATTCGGAGGGAAAGACTTCGAGAGGGCAGAGCTACAGTGCCGGCTCATAAGAACCCAGCTCGACGGTCTGGAACACACGGCTAAAACCATGGTTGGTTTTCAAAGGCTTCGGAAAAGCATAACGGGAATGAAGTCAAGAATTATCCGTCGTCAATCATGGAAATTTCACGAAAAATCATCGTTGATCTTCCAGCCGCATTACTATCCATCGTACCCCATGTTCAATGATCTTATATCAACATTGAAAAAAGTCCTAGCTGGACACGAGTACGTGACGCAGGCTTCTAAAGAAAAAAACGACATGCTCCGAGAAAACGATAAGCTTCGGAATGAAATCCAAGTTCTTCGGGAGGAGATGGATAAGCTGAAGAGGTATTAGCATTGACGGTCGATGCGCCAACCTTGACGCCGCTAAACTCGAAGGTGGATGGCGTGTAAACCAATTTCTGTCGAGGAGCAATAAGTCTTACATCCGGATCGCGCTTTCAGGAAACACGTGAAGGACAAGAAGACCATCAATGAGTTGGAGAAACTGTCATCCTCAAGATTGCAGGACTCTTCAAGCTTGAAAATGTTCTCCCCTCAACACAATTCCAGCTCCACGCAGCGAGAAGATGATCTGAAACTCATTGAGATGCTCAGAGAAGTGAAAACTGCGCTCCAAGACGGCCAAGAGTTCAGAGGAAACAAAGACTACAGCGATGTCGTTTGTCGTCTGAAAGAGGTTCGCCTCGATAGCTTTCTGAGCTGAGGGATTCGTGCTCTCTGATTCTATCCTGACGCTCGCAACTCGCGACGCTCCCATGAGTCTAAACTCCAATCAGTCGACATCAAGGAGCGCAAATTCAAATCATTCTGATTTTCTTCTAGGCTGTGAAACCAGACAGGTTGGACTCCCCGAAGTCCCATGAAGCGGTCGCCTCCATGGATAGTTACTTCCGGATATTGGAGAAAAACATCTCGCTGATAAATCACGAACTGGACATACAGAACAATAATTGATCCTCTGCTCTTGACTGAGCGTTGTACCTCAGCTTGAAAGCTATAAAATGGTCACCACCGAAAAATTAGACATTCACTCGGGTGTAATCTTAAGTCTATCTGACGGCAAGAATATTGTAACGACCGTCTCTCGGTCAGCGTTCCTACTATGAACTATGTCTGAGCTGCGATATCCAGTCATTCCTTATTCAAATAACCGGCTCGGTCGGATGCGGATTCGGACATCTTCCGCTTCGATCCTCGTTTTTGCTTCCCCCGGGGCACAGTCCTAATGGCGGCACGTATGTTACACGATGCGAAGAACTCGACGGGAACGGCTCGAGAGATATCTGATGCTCTCGCTCAAGCTGTTAGATTCGAATTGCGCAAGAACAGTGTCCCGTCTGGTAAATATACGGGATAACGCCAGGAATCCCGGTATTCGTCGTTCTCATAAGAAGGTCGAAGGACCCGCTCGGAAAAGCACGTCCCTCCTCGAAGTTCTGAGGATTCGAACCAAAACGGCACCTTTTCGAAGACGGGGTTCACGGACGGAGAGAGGAGACGGCGGCTGAGTCGGTTTACGGGGCCAAGCCTGATATCCGAGTCCTTGAGCGTCGGCGATTCATTCCTGATGTATCCGGATGCTCGGAATGGATTCAGGAGGGAGGGTGTCTCCCTGCCCCAGAACAGTCAAGGGCTCATAGCCCGCGCGTCTGAATCTTGAAGGAAACGCACGGCGAAATTATTAGACAACAAGTTACAAGGTCTCGGCTGTATGCGTCTGGAGTTCCTGCTTCCCATCCTCCATTCCCCAGTTCTGCGCTCAACGATTCAGTGAATAAAAACGCCGGCCGATCCAACGCAGATCTTCACATGTCCCGCGCGCGCTTCCGCCATCTCATATTCGTATATCCACGAGCTTGTCCATCGGGCCCTGAGGATACTGGAGATATCATGGAGCCTCCTGACCAGAACCTGATAATTCGGCTGGCAGCCGAGATCGAATGTCTCTCACGGAAACCCGCACGCCCGCACGGGGAGCCGGAGGAAGAGCCTCGGAGCCTTACTACGAGAAACCTCACGGAAACCCTCGCGGAACCTTCAGCCAGGAAAAATTCCCTTCCGAGCGTTTCCCCTGAAAGCAATGGGTCTTTGATCGAGACAGAGGAGAAAGTGCCCAGGCACCTGCTTCGCGTTCGAAACTCTAGGTGCAAAAATAATGATTCGGGAATCTTGGCAGGAGCTTGCCGATATCGATCGATCGACAACCTTCGATACAGGAACGCTATGTTGGGATCTGAGGACCGCGACCCAGCCGCGTGAGAATCGAGACTCTCCAGAGCGTATATATATGTGTTAAATGCCGTATGAATCAAAGTGTGACATCGCCTATCGTTCTGGGAAGATAGATGACTCGGCGGCTTCGCGGGCTCCAAGATCATCCGCGATTAGCCCGCGCCACGATTGACCTTTGGAGCCTCGGCACAGAGGACCCACGGGTCGTCGCTTCGAGAATTATAACGGAAGTTGCATGCAGCTCACGGTATCCGGATTCCGTGCTCAGCAGCCACTGACCTGTCGTTGCGCAGATTCCATCTTTGAATCGATCAGCCGGAATCGGGGATGCTCGACTGAGCACTCAAAAACGGCGGATCGATTCTGTAGATTCTGTTCATTCCGACTAGAGAACAACTCCATTCCCGGAGCGCGTTGAGCGCTTACGCGATCGATGCATACTTTGAAGTGCCTCCACAATCCGGCTGCTCGTGAACGAACTGATAGCTGCTAGGACAGGTCATGCGGAACGCTTATCCGTCCTTGCTTTGAATTCGACAGCGCTCCGTGGGCGGGGCGCGTAAAGCAATGACGCCGCTAGAAGGCTGGAACGCCGAGTTCGAGCAAACAACGAGCGAACCCGAGCTTGACTCCTGAGCCGATGCGTTAAACAGCACCATAAATATCAGCCGTCACGTATTTCCCTCCTGGCAGCGATAAAATATTCAGATAGATGAGGGATTCGTAGTACTCTTGAGATGGAGAATTCATGCTCTCCTTGAGGGAATGAACTTCCCTTCATCATTCCTCGGATGATTTCGACTCGAGAGTAGAGCACTCAGAGACGGAAATCTGTATCGACCGCCCTTAAGATGCCCAGCCCTATCACACCGAAGGAAAACGAAAATCACGAGACGCATAGTCGCATGGCGACTGTCTGATTTATTTACATTTCTCGAGTCCGGGGTCATGAGACTTGGTTCTTTCTCTGACGTTACTATTTTATTATGAGTTTGGCGCGTTTCTGAATCGAGCTGTCTTCACAGCAGATAAGTCTTCACCTGCGAAAATTGAAGGAATTATAAAACACGAATCCTCCAGATGAGAGGTTCCGATTCGAGTTCCGGGGAACGGCGAAAAACTCTCTAGGGAGAACTACTGTGCATTTGGCGTTTATATATTCAGATAGATCGATGGGACTCACGCTTCTGAGATGAAGTTCGGTGAAGGCCACCAGTACACCGATATTGACGAGTCCGATATACTGGATCCATAACAGGAAGTCCCACATGTGATCACAGAAAATGAAAAACAAGAAAAAGTGCATCAACGAGTGGGCGTTCGACACTCTCCAGAACCACATGATGATCCACATGAGCGAAGACCGGAGAACTTCGGACTGATCATGAGGATTGATTTGCGGCGAACGAACTTCCAAGAGGTCATGATATTCGCTGATGTAATGGTCCCAGAAGACGCAACTGATGGCCAGCTGGAGTCCGAAGCAACCGACGACTGTTGCGATCCGCTTCGGCGAGTATGGCATATAATTCGAAGCTCTACTTTTCTCGTGCTGCGACATTGGCAAATACAATTTACAAGTAGGAAGTTTCCGTCTCAGGAAGAAGAAACAACCTGAGGAGGCATGGAGCGCTCGTTAGATGCGGTCTTGCACGTTCGGTCCATGACACGGAGGAAGCGGTCCCGCTGATCACGCGTGGAGCCGACCGAAAATCGAGAGCGGCGAGGGACGGTCCGTAGTAGTGACCTCGGAGATTATATAAGACTCACCGATTAGGAAAACGCTGAAGCCGCAGGCGTCGGCGACACCGTCGACGACGTAACCTGAGGTATTTCTTAGAGACACAAACTGGACCATGTGTCGTCTCTCTCGCGCTATCGTGCCGTCCAAAGCGTCGAACCAGGTTCTCAAACAGAACATGAAAACAGCCAAGCGGTGCATAGATAACGAGTCGTGCTGTGGAAAAGATGAATGATTCCATTTACTCTTCCTCATTAACTTCTGACGGAAAGGACTCTGGACCTTCAGTAGAAGCGTACTCCGGTTTCTCGGAGAAAAATAAAGAGATTCGTTCTGACCGCCCTATCCGCCGTGAAATAAGGGCGAAGCACCCCTCTGTGGACGTCGGGGAAATTTCTGCTCTCGGCCGTAAAGACGGAATTAATCGTGGGATACCGAATCGAGGAGGGAATGGAACGCTCAGTCGAGCTACGATTCGGTCGGATCGGTTCCGAGACGGAGTTTATAAACAGAAGTATCCGACTTGGAGTAGAGATATTCTCGTCGAAAGAAGTGGGACTCGAGTACATTGGTGGCGACTACATCGATCACTGTCGAACTCTCGAAACAACGCAGAACCACGAACACTTACCATGACGAATCTGGCTGCAGCGCATGCCGAGAGGAAGCCCGCGAACGAGACCATATTCGGCGATATGAACGAGAGAACCTCAGAGAAATTCGTCACCTTGCTGAATATATTTGCTAGAGGTGTGTGTATGTAGTTGTTGACTTGGTCCAACATCATCATCTTTATTGATAGGCCTGGAAATTAAAGCAAAAGTCCCGGCTGAATCTAGCTGATTACCTCTTTCTGACAGGTTATCCCACCCGGTCCCAAGAAAAATCTCATCTTGGGAGACTGAAGTCTCTTTCTCGGGCCCTAGTTCTGGCAATATTCGGAAACTTGATCTACATGTAAGCTTGTACGGATATGCTTGCAGGAGACTGACCCCGAAGGCAAACGAATACCTATACGTAGATGCTTTGAACGATCATGAGCATATCGGTAAACTTGTACCAACCCGTGAACGGTGAGAAAAGTCTCGGTGGACCGGCTTGAGGTTTCTCTCCTGAGATCGGGGGAGGTGTCTCCGGTGCCGATGGGGGTGGTAAACTCTGTATTCGATAGTACAGAGCTACGTCCATCCATAGGAAGTAGAGCAGGAGTCCCAGAGTGACCATAAAGGTCGTCCGGTGCTCCGAGACCTTCATGCCCCGGCCGCGTGGTTCACCTGGCATCGAGCTGCTCACGGCACGCTCCCCTGGAATTAAATATGGTAATCGATTAGTTTTACGGTGAGACTGTGATCGCTCGATTAGCTTCGATCGCAGTATCGCAGCGAGGGTGAAGTTTGTGCGAACTCAGTTGACTAAAGCCTCGGTCGGCTGAGCGAATCGACGAAGTATCGCTGACTGAAAGGTCGGAGGTGTAAGTCATCGAGACGTGGGTAGCGCCAAGGCCGGACGCACGAAGAGTGTAAGGGGAGCGAATCTTTTTCTCTTTCGAATAGATCAATTATTTTTGTTCTCCGATAGCTTGGAGCGGACTCCCTTGCTCAGCAAAGGTTTTCTCGAGAAATCGATTGTGATCGACGGCAGTTCCTCGGAATGATCATTATCGATTGCGCCTTGCTATTAGCTGGCGTTCTACACGCAATTATCTACAATCGAGCATGCCGGAATTCCGTCCGACCCAGTAGAATTGAAACTGCCTCCGTTCATTTTCGCAAAATCATTGTTGCAGCGAGCAGGAACCTTTTCTGAGACCATCGTTCGATGACAAAGTCGAGTGATCCAGAGCATGAATGTATTGACCTGCAACGAGAGTAGGGGTACGACTCTCGGAATGAATGTCAACAGCGGATCCGTGGTCGACGATTCCAGTGGACCGCTTTGCTGCCCCAATGATTCTCTCATAGGTGTAAGCGGGGATGCATCTGCGTGCTTGAATCTCTTTTACGCTGTCCACAGAACGACCTCACTGCTGGATCGTTGGAATTTGTGAGTCAATCGCAGGCCTTAATGCTCTCAGCTACTCGGTCATTCGAAGCTCCCTCTGTTTACGGCGAGCCTGACACCAACAAAGCTGAGCCCGTCGATGCCGTGTCCTCGTCCCGAGACCGCAAATGCTGGGCCGAGTTATCAGCTCACATGATTGCTCCCCGACTAATTCACGCCGTCGCTCTTTTGGGACTCTCCGAGGATATGACGATCAATTCCGTGTTGACCTGACACAGCTCCGCTTTAAATCCGGACACCGCATATGTATCTAAGACTGTGGATGATCGTACGACTCGGAGCAAGAAGATCATTAGAAGCTCCTCGAGCTCTGCGAGCGCACTAGGTGGGAACGGGCGACAAACGAGCGACTCTCGCAGTGGATCGCGCGGATGAAAATAGAAAATGAGTGCCCGTGCGCCAAGGAAAGCTTATACCGCTCGCCGAGAGCCGTGGGAGGCTTTAAATGATTCTCATCGACCAGAAACCGTCCGTAGCCTGGTCCTCTGGAAATCGAAGAAGCCGCTGCCAGAGCATGTGATGACAGGAGAATATTCCCTGCTGGGGCTGCTGATAACGCGATTTTTTCCGTAGTCAACGGTATGATTTGGACTGGGTACTTTCAATCAAATGTGAAGGTAGCCACAAGCATCGATGAGGTCTTCCCGTGAGCCAACGGTAGAGACTCCGGACTCACCTTGCGTCAGCGTTTTACCCTTCCTCTAATTTCAGTTTGGCCTTCCCGGCAATCAGTAGAGGGAAGAATATCGTTTTCCGTCTTCAGCAAAGGATCCGCTGTTCCCGGTTCGTATGCGGAACGCGGTAGGTCGACGTTCTTCCTCTCAGTTGCCAATCAATAGTTCCTATTGATGACTTCTGATATTCGCTTCCCCGGATAATTCCGGCGTCATCTACAGCGTCTCTTCAGCTGCGATTGTGAGGCTTCAACGGGGCAATGTTTCTCTCTCAAGGACATAGAGACTTTTCTATACAAAAATAACTCCGCTGAAGCAGTCAGAACGAAGAGATTCCCATGGATACAATCAACCGGCCTGCAGATTTGTCATTGTTCCGCAGCGCACCGCGAGCTAGGGCAGGCGATTGGATTCGTACTCGCAGCGGAGGGTAATTGAAAGCGGACAGTCACGCTAGATTCCGCTTCGAGTGGAGAATACGTTTGCTCCGTGTCTCGTTATGAAACTCGAAATCGGGCTCGTGGCGCTTGTATTCGCAAGTGACCCACATAACGGACAGACCTTCCGGATATATGCACCCCCATTTTTTTTTTCTGGACGATTGAACACTGGCACGCCGCTGCCCTCACGCGACGACGGCAGTGCGAAGGGAACACCGGAAGAATATAAGGGAACAGTCGTGCCGTCTTGAACAGGGCCCTAAGTAGAACAACTGAATGGAGCAATTGATGCATCAACTTTGTTTGCGTAACTAGAGAATTAGGGTGGGTAATTTAAAGCCAAATGGATGCATGAATTAATCGAATGATCAACCAGTCAATCACGACGGAGGTTCAGTGGGACAGGCCTCCTCTCACCACTGTCTCACTATTGCGATTCATCCCCTCGGCATCCAGGGTAACGAAGGTACACGGCAATATAACATTGAGGATGAGTTTGCAGGAAAATTTCCGCGGCCGTGAGCTAGAGTTTTGATCGTTCTTCAGGAAGAGGGCTGGGATTCCTCGGAGGCTGACCTATACCGAATAAACTTCATATCAACCACGGGTTCCGTTTCCACGTCAGCCACAGCTCTCGAGCTCACGTGAAAGACTTGAATGGTTCGCTCGCAGCGATTCTCCGCTTTCCACTGGAGCTCGGACCTTATCCGCTCCTTCAGAGACTCGCATCGCAAAACAAGATCCGACAAATGTCGTGCTGGGAATTCTACGCCGGGTGAATTCCCAAGGGAGTCATCCTCATCTCCGAGTAGGCGAAAGCCTCAAACGTGACGCATTAATCAGGCCTCCCGACGAGCGGGGTTCATCTCGATAGGGCCGAGCGGGGTTCATCTCGATAGGGCCGAGCGGGCGAGGCAGCGGATCCGTGATTTCGATCGGCGCCGGCATCAGCCATCAGAGATTTGCAAACAGCTCGATTCTAAACGATATTTGATTGAGAAGTTCCGCAGTCCGAACGGAGTAGCCGTATCTGAGCGATGCATCGACATTCCCAGAATACTCAGTATCATTTGATCGATCTCCCCATTGTGGAGAAGCACTATAGGGACCTCCAAGGACGGGCCCTGTGAAGTCGTAGGCTCAAATTTAGAAACGCACGGCAGAGTACTTGTTGTACGCAAATGATTGCGGAGCATTCACCGATCGATTACAGGGCGATGATGCTCATCAAGGAGCTATCTTTCGTCGGAAGTGATCGCGGTGATTTATTTTTAGCTCCTTCGCGTTCGATGATTGTTTCAGGTTATTCCGGTCCATGCGCTCGAACTATTGAACCGCGGCATAGGCAGGAATGCTCGCTCGCTCTATCCGTTTAGGTAATCACATTATTCAATGTCTCAGAATACCCGTTCTAAAGCAAGACCTAGATTCCTAAATTCTACTTCACATGCATAGGGCAACTCTCATGAATAATGACTGCTGCGTCGATTCGTGCCGTTGATCTCTCTCTATCTCTGGCAGCTGTGCCTCCGGAACCTCGTCACTAGCTCTTTATACGGCCTGTGATGTCACACCGCAAGGTCGGTTTGCGTTTTTTTCCCGCAGTCCGGAAACTAAGCACGGACGGCTTACTGCCGAGGTTCCCCGTGGATGAACATCCACCAGTCGTTCAGCGGTCGAGATCGCGACTCGGGTTGATGGAATAGAATTCTCTCGCGGCTAGGTAACGCTCTCGCGAAACCATTCCACGTCAAACAGAGGAACAGTTCCTGGAGTGTCTGGTACGTAGGACCGACTGACGACCTCTACGCTGACGGAGCTCGCCTAATTGGAGGGCCGTGGACAAAAAATCTTGAGAGATCGAGTTGTCCTTGTTCTCATATGGATAACGGGGACACTCAAAGCTAACTAGGGAATTCGAAAATAATTCCTTCCACAGAGCTCGGCCTCCTCACGGCCTCACGGGCATTGCGTGAGGTTCGTCCTCGCGCGGCCCGACTATCCTCCCAAGACGTCGAATACCGATTCCGCTATGATCCTTTGCTCTACGCAGCGCGCTCTTTTTCGGCTCTTGGTACGGGAATGAGTCCTCCTGCGAGACGTGAGCCTTCGACTTGAAAGAGCGATTCTAGAGGAAACACGATGCCGTCACATTCGACCACGGGCACGGCCAAAAACGGAAGCTGACCTCGCCCTAGAGCAAGAGTCGGGCCGTTCGTTCCTTTCCTGCGTGGTTTGCTGACCTTATGCCGAGATTAGAATATGCCTGCTGCTATATATAGACCCACCCTAACAACAACATGACAGTATGACATTTCATGCTTCGTCTTTTCGCATCCGCCGCTCCTCCCCCACGGTTTCGCGTTGCTCGAATCCTCGGGCTCGGGCTCGCTCTGTACGTTTCCTGAACACGAAAGCTGCCGATCGCTAAGGCGAGTCACACGCGTGGCGAATGCCGCGGGTAAGCTCCTGAGCCTGGAGCTCGTTCTTTTCGAGCTCTCCGATATTCTTGGCAACAAAGCGAGATTGTTGGCCAGACAATCATTGTTGTGATCGGGAACAATATCTGGAACTCAAGCCTCCGCCAGCCGGTTCGAATACGGCTCGAGAGCGTGGCTGTTCGAAAAGGTCATCACAATCCGCTTTTGTGTACGAGCTACTCGCGTGTCGTATCCGTTGTTCCAGCGCATCAAACGCGAATAGTAAACGTGCCGATGCGGGATATAAGCACTCGCTCAGAGTTGACCTGCACAAGATGAGCGTCGCGGCATCCGAAGCAACGATATGCCCACGGAAACGCTCGCTGTACGCGACTTGTACATCGGCCCAAAAAGAAGTCAATGACCCATTCCGGGATCCGCGGGGCCTTCTGAAGCCGAGACTCAGCGGTGTTGTTTCAATTTGATTTTTGCCGACATAAGTCGACGGTCGCTTCCTTGACCAGCTCCCCTCGCTTCCTCGACGAATGGATCGGCACGAAAATCGACGTCGCGCGTCAAGCACGAACTTGGCTCTTTTCTCTATGGAACACCCTTTCTCAGAAAAAAATTGCCGCAGGCCGATCCGTTCGTCCTGAGCCTTACTGGTCTCGCGTGACGTGGTCGACTCGAGAGCAGAGCGGGGAATTCG